CAATTATGAATTAATGTCACTTTGTGGTCAATTTATGCAGTGCCACGGCTATGAAAACCAATGGTAAATGGTGAGAAATCAGACTGTTGGCAGAAATTATTTCCATTGTAGAAAACTTGTTTTCATTTTAAACATTTCATAAAACAACATTTTAATGCAATTCTGTGAATTTATTCACAGTGGAAAATATCTACAAAGCTTGTTTGAGCAAGCTTATAAAAATTAATTGAAGATCAGAGAGTGTTCTTTCAAGATAAACTTTTGAAGTAGCAATCAGGATTATGATAATTGCATATTATATGTTTTCTTCTGCTGAACCCTCCAAGACGCTCTACATGGGATTAATGTTTTTTATCTCTCACTCTCACGGTTGATAATGATGTTTATTTTGCTATTCGGGGTATTTCTCTATCTCAAGGGAGTCTGCATTCTATGAATATTCCATTCTTCTGAGGAATTTGTAGTATGTGTATAATGGGGGATGATAAGAGTGCAAAACTTACTTATTTGTCTACAGAAGCAGAATCACCCTAAATATTTTCACTCGAAAGAGGAAGAATTTTCTAAATTCTTCCAACTTTAGCATAAGATACCGATAATTTTTTGAATGCCCACTTTCTCAAGAGAATATAAGTGTTGAAATTCCTGCCGCTAAAGGATTGTATTTTCACCAGCAAATTCAACACGAAATCCCCGTTTTTGCAGCTGTTCTGCCACTTGAAGTTCACGAAAGTGGAGATTGAATGAGAAAGAATCTCCATCTAATTGGTGGTTAAATGCTCATAAATGGATATGGAGGAGTGTAATTGTTTTAGTTGTCGTTTCCCATTGTTGGAAAAACATCCAAATATTGTCCTTCTAGCCATTTTCTCCACAATTGTCCTCCTTTTTGCACCATGGGCTTTCCATTCCGCCTATAAACACACAAATGGAGGGAGCCGAAAGTTAAATAAACAGGGACATTGTGCAAACAATATAAAAGGACACTAATACACGAAGCATTGGGAAAAAAGTCATCTCTTCCCAGTGATTATATTGTGTATTTTCTCTTTTGTCTCTCCACATTCAATCCTTGTTTGCTCCCTCGAATTAGGATTGCCAGATTTCGCAAAGTATGGCAGAGAAAAGACGCTCTGCGACAAATGTTCTTCTGCCCGGTGGACGGTGAAAAGGATGCGGGGAATTTGCATAAATAATTTAACTTATGAATCTCATAAAAAGCGATTTCTTTAGCTGAATTGACCCCCACACAGTAGCTTACAATATAAGAAGAGACATCGAAGAATGCCTGTAAACCCTCATCAATCACTCAGCTTTTGAAAGTTTCAAATTTACACATTCACCTCCGGGCAGATATTTAGGGGCCACTTTAGATAACATTCTGCCTGACTCAGGTCCCAGAAGGGTCCGCCCAATTTCCCAAACTTGATGGCCGAGTCACCGAAATTGCCAAAATCATCCTTCTGATCCAGTGCTGAGACACTCTTGCACTTCTCCTCCTCAGCCGGAGCAATATGGCCATACCCTTACATCAGGGCCATGAAATGAACACTAAAGAAGGCATTTTAGATGGCATTTTCCAGTATTTAAGGACCCATTGGTAATCGCATAGAAGCAGACACTGTGCTCGTGTCCCATGTGCCTTGCAATACTGAAAGCATAGCAATTTCCTTTGATTCTAACTACAGGTACTTATTTTCTCGACACTGGGATTAATATAATCCACTCCGTTGAGATTGATTTACGTGCAGTGGTTTTATGAAGGGTTTCAAAAGTTCCCCGAGTACAGTTATTAGCATAAGTGCAATGTATGCGAATTAATTTATATTTGCATGCAAATTAAGTAGTCGGAATTGTATATCATTACACGACACACACACTCTCTCTCTCGCTTATGCGGCTGAAGGACTTTTGTCTGCATTTAACTGAGCACTTTAAAATGCTCTTTCTTTAACTAGACGATGGGTGAAATTGAGGGGCAGAATGCGAAGAGATATTTTGTGTCAAGTGGAAGGGAAATGTCAATAAAAGCACTTCTTTCACTTGGATCTAAACTTGTACAGAGGCGGTGAGATCCGTGTGAGGCACAGAGTTAAGTGGGAGCTTCTCAATTTCAAGAAATTTTATTGAAAGCGTCCCTCCATTACTTTGTGTGAAAATGGCGAGTGAAATGGCACAGAAGCGCACACCCGGCCGAAGAGTTGGTGAATAAAATAGAATTTTCACCTTGTTACACACTTTATCAATATAAGTTTCGGTTACACGTCTTCCTCTTTTATCTCTATGTCTCACACTCCTAGTCCACATTTTCTTTATCTTCTCCTCGGGCACATAAACTTGAATTTTTATTTACAGAAAAAAAAGAGGGGAAATCACACTATAGTCTCTGCGAGAATGTCTTTTATCTCTTAGTTTTCCACATCACCGAAACATTTTTCCTTTTGTCTTGCGTTCCCTTCTGCCGATGTGTCTTTGCCAGCCTCAAGATTTCCACGCGAAGATGGAAAATTCCAATGTGTGTCCAAAGGGAGATTTTCCCTTTTAATTGATGTGGATGGAAAAGAGTAACTTTGCCACAAATATTTTGTGTGTTCCGGTTTAGTGGGTGGAATCACATACTGTGAATATCAACATCAAAGACTCTGTTACATGAAAGTCAGAGCTTTTGTCATGTAAATCCCTCAAAGCGAATGTCTGGCCAAGAGGCGGACAATTGATCACATGCATGTTGTGTATCAATCAAGGCTCTAAATTTGATGTGCAAATTAATATTTGTGTCTTCAGTTCACTGTAATTCTTTTGTTTGCGCTCAAGAAATACAAAATCGTCTATTTATTGACATTTATCGTTATCGTGCTACATAGAAAGCGCACTTTCGCTCTGAACTTGATTTCCCCTCGGTGCGAAACTACTTTTTGTTTAGCGAACAAGTTTAGCAGATAAATACAACCAAACTAACATACAAATTCTATTTGCCAATACGTTACACACCAATGAAAACTAATACAAAATATTATATTGACAAAAAATATCAAATAAAAGCATTTTTGTTCACCGTTTCCCACTTTATATTCTACACTGAACATTTTTAGTTTCTCAATAAATTGAGGGATGTCTCACAGTAAGAGTGGGTTGTGTTTTTCCGGCCAACACGCCCACGTCTCACTTCGATGTAGAATTATGTGAGAGATAAAAAAAAATATCGCAATCATTTATCATAGGAGAAATTCAAATAATATCATCTTGGTTTGTTGGAATGTGAGAAGAATACAATTTGCAGAGTGATTTGTACGTGGTGAATGTGGGTGTGTGCATATTGAATAACTCTTCGGTAAACGTCATCAGGATGATGTCGGTTTTCCGAGGGGGTATGCAGTTCAATTTTGGGGAGAGTATTACGAAACTGATAAACATTCAGTACTCTTCCGCCCACTCAATTTGCGCACCAGTGCCATTTTATTTATTCACATAAATTGTCACAATATTGACTAACGAGAGGGAAAAGGAACACCCCCTATTGTGTGCGGCTGAAATTTTGAGCACACCAAAATAAATTCGTCTCCGACACTGGCCGTCCCCATGAAAGCAGACTGCCTGCGAGATGGGACAGCAGTGATACATCAAGAGTTATCAATGATGACGACAAGCAAAGACCGGGGAGAATGTAAATGAGAAATCTCAAACTTTCCTCGCCAGCAGCCAAACAACCAGGCGGCCCCACTCCATGAGACATAAAAATAAACTCTTCCCTCTCACTTAATTTCCTCGTCAGCACCACCCACATCCACGGTGGATGGACTTGTAGGTATTATTATGGCATTTGAGGAGAGGAGTGTATTAAAAGTTGGTCTCTCACACCCATTGAAAAGTTTAATCCAATTCACTTGTTTAGAGGCTAAATAATACATCGTGGGACGAAGTGGAAGAGCCACAAAGAAATTCTATTTTGTTGCAAAAATTTTCGGCTTTCCCTCTCATTCTGCCTTTCTTGTGGCACACAGTATTAAGCCAGAATTATCGTCCGAGATAAGTGAATGGAATAAATTGCAAAGTTGTGGAATCTCGAATTGAAATGTTAAACAACAGTAGTAAAGCATTCCCTCTTGTACCTCACAAAAGAAATGGGGAAGTTTGCCACACAACTTGATGGACTTTGCGGTTAATAATTCTGTTTATTTTAATCCTCCAGATTTACCAAGAGATTCACAAAGTGGTTTTGCCAGTGAGTGACAAATCACACTTTATACAGCTGTGTAGATGTATAAACATGAATTGTATACTCAATAGGAAATTGATAGTTGCGTATGTGAGCTTTCTAGGCTTTGTCTGAAGCCTTCATTAATATATAACTTTCCAGGTGTGGCTAATGAATTACTTGCTGAGCCATTGAGGGAAACATTGATTTGCCATTGTGTAGGAAGCGTGGAAAATATTTTACTCCCATTCTTTGAAAGCTCCTCACGTCAGACTCCGAAAGGCTGATATGAGCTCTTTAAAGTTGAAGAGAAATTGACATGAATAAATCACAGCGAGCGTAAGTATTGCGTCAGTTATTAATGAAATAATTTTTTGATGTTGGCATCAAATTTATGTACAAGCATATAAATAGCGCCAATTTCTCAATCCGTACAATTTCGTGGCTGTGGCGTGGCTAAAGTCACATCCTCTGGGTCAGTGTTGGATTCATTGGTCAAATATTGGACTCACTCAGATAGCACACAAAGCAAACACACGCCCAGGGAAGGGGCCATTGAGCCTCTTGTCAATTTAAAGTCAATGGCCATTTTATTGACAAAGCATTTCTCATTCATGTCTCCTCGCAGGACGATGGCCTTGGCATGGCTGGGGAGCTGCTGGATGAAGAATCACTTCACTGCCACAGACTGGAGAGCAGCTCGTAGAAGACGGAGGTGTCCGATTGCTCGGAGAGCTGCTGCGGAGCCTGGAGAGTGCCGGTCTGAGTCTCTCTCCGCCATCACATAAAAATTAAATTAATGTGCTGCCTGTGGAGTGATTAAAAAAGCACCCAAGAGTAAGTGTGGGCCCCCGCTTGCTTTATGACGAATTCCCCCGCCCACAGTGGCCGTGAAATAATCGTAAAACTCCAATCTCTGCAGCCATGAATCTCATCAATATGGATTCGGAGAACCGGGTGGTCCTCAATGTGGGTGGCATCCGGCATGAGACGTACAAGGCGACACTCAAGAAGATCCCAGCCACGCGGCTGTCGCGTCTCACGGAAGCTCTGGCCAATTACGATCCCATCCTCAATGAGTACTTCTTCGACCGGCATCCCGGCGTCTTCGCCCAAGTCCTCAACTACTACAGGTAGGCAAAGCTCCACTGGAATTATGTTAAAAAAAAATACAACCTCACATCAGTTCACATCTGTGTTTGAGAGTGCAATTAACTCGTTTCTAAACTCTAAATTAATTTTCCATCCTATGAGTTGAGAATATGCGTGAAGAAGTATCAAAAGTTGGGCCAAAGGGTATTGGAGCTGGATCTATAGTGTGTTCTAGATAAATTAAAAGCTCCCTCGGGTTTTATGAAAGTCCAGAAAGGGGTCCATTTAGTTTACCTCAGCAATTGTGGTGTTCAGCTCAATGCAAAATAATTTTTGGCCAACCGACTGGACAAAGGAGATGAAAGGACAGCGCGAAAATGTATTTAGTAATGCTTATGGCTCTATACCACTTTTAAGTTTTACTACCCCCACCCCACTTTTTCTGCCGGGACTAATACCTTCGCCATCTGCAAAGATTAAACCCACAGGGCTTGCCAGACACAGTTGTGCTTTTGCATAAAATTTTTGGGCAACTGGACTTCATTTGCATACGACCAAAAGGGCTTTATAGTCTGACTATTCTAATGTTTGGGGAGAGGCAACATATTTCAAATTTATACCCCATACTTATCCACCACATAAGGTGAATTTGCCGCCAAAGTGGGCATTTTTCAATTTAATTACACATTCTGTCTCTTAAATTGCACAACAGGCGCGCACCATTTGCTGATATTCAGCATTTTAAAATCATTTTTCTCAACTATTGAACATTATATAGCAACAAGCTGTTCCCCTCTAGTTGTCATATAAACGTAATTTGTGTCGTGTAAAGCAAAAGTATGTCATCAGATATAGCATTGTACTGTAAAGTGTTTATCAAGACACACTGAATGGGGAGCATTAATCAATATTGTGAAACCATGTAATCAAAACCACAATCCAAACCAACTCTTGGTGAAGCTATTATACACAAATTAGGCGTTGAATTAATCAAATTTTAGTCAATCGTTTCATATGAAATCACAAAAAAAATCGTTTCCCTTTGTCAGAGAATTTTTCTGGTCATTAAAAATTCAAGTGTTGCGGTTTTTGGTAGTGAAAACCTTGTGAAAATCAGTGTAAATTCCGGTGATATATTCAGAAAATGCGCAGAGCACTTCCGCGTATCTCAAATCTGTGAATAACCTCGTGGTCAAATAAATAGAGCGTTAGAAACGCTGGAAAGCTATTTCATCTGACAATTGTGTGATGTGTAAATGTGTAAAATTCAAGCAATATACTTTAAGATAAATAAATAAATAGGAATGTTGTTTATAATAAAACTTAAGTTGGGCAAAATATGAATCCGGGAAAGAGAAAATTCATCACTGAGCGCAATTGACTCATCAAATATACTTGGAAATATGCCAAACTCCTCACAAAATGCAGAGACTTTACAATTTCAACATGTGAACAAACATCTTGGCTCAGAGATTCACTTGAGGAGAGTCAAAGGAAAGTAAAGGGCTAGGAGAAGCTGTTGCATTTGGCCATTTTTCTCAATATTGGCCACTGGGTGGGTATCGATCGATAAGGAAAGGGCCACGAGATGAAAGCAACAAATCTTTCACGATGACTTCACCAGTCTTAAATCTTGCCCCTTTTTCATCTGATTGCCACTCACCGTATTAAAGGAGAAGAGCGGAGCCGTGAAGGAGAATATATGATTTTTTCACTGAGGATAAATTAGGCATCCAAGTAGGGATATTATACGGCTCTGAGGCGACCAAAGCTCCTTACTCCAATAAAGTGTGAGCTTTGCTCGCAGTGTTTTTCACACGCTCGGTAGGAATGGTGAAAAAGTGTGTGTCCACCCTCAGGATTTGTCGGACATGTCGGACATTAACTGGGGGCTGCGTTGGAGTGGTAAACAAATGAGGGGTGGCTCCGTGAGACAACATTTGTAGCTGGTGGGCCTTTTTGTGGCCATTCCACTATCAGGCCCCGTCACCCTCATAAATAATCGGCTGACGGTTTAGTTGATGGAAAATCGAGTATGGCAATTTCGCTTTTAGTCCTCCACATGTGCTTTCCATTAGGGCGCCCAACGGTGGGCGGTGCGGATCGCGTTGATGGCATCGGCATAAGTGAATATTTGATAGAAATGATACCGCACTCCATTTTTCGTCACCAACCTGCTCTTTTTTCTCATGGAAAAATATTGTCAGCCATAAATTTGATGTGCATACCGAAAGTACGGCGGGATAGTCGAAGGAGCGAAGGAGTCATTTATCAAAAGTTTGCTTACCTACTGAATTGGACATTGGACGCCCACCCACTTGAATTACAATATTCTGATTTATCCGCCATCGCCACCCTCTTCTTGGAATATTGAAAATAACTTTTTCTCCCCATTGACCACAATGGAGCTTCTGACGTGCTTCCGATGGGACTCACCCTCCGCAAGCCAAAAAAAAGGGCTGAAAAGAGTGAGGGATCCTTTTGAAAGCCCCCATCCGCAGTCACTTTTATCGCTTTCCCAAGTCCCACGGGAGAAACATAGGAGCCAATCTAAATGATATTTATTGTACTGAGGGTTCTCAGGGAAGGTTGATGATCCCCTCATGGGACGAGTCGAGTGAAAGAGGATGAAAAGAAGGGAAAAGCTCGAAAGTCATCAACTCATTAATAGAACATGCGAGAAATTGATTCGTAAATCATCTCCACAGCATCTTACACACATTTTATCTCCTTCTTTCTGCACTGATTCTCCGAAAAGCTTCCACACTTGACTCTGCAGAAAACCGCTAATATCCGCAATGGGTGAGAATTCAATATTCACACTCCACACCAAATAATGTATCCCCCCAAACAACCACTAAGCACATCAGGAGTCATGCTATCAATGGCAAAAGGGGCGGGAAAAGCACTCCTATCTTTTCAGCCAAATTCACAATAGATTGAAGTCAATTTGGGGCAATGCTTTGCGAAATACGTAAACATACATTTTAATTTAGGACTATCAAATTGCGTGAAAGCTTCAGGGAAAAGTTTCACTTCAAGTTCGAGGCGCAATAACAAAAACAATTTCTTGTGAGAAAGATTAGGTATTTCATTTAGGAGAACAATTTCACTTGCTCAGACATCCGCCCACTTAGCCGCAAATTCAATAGATCTGTGCTTAAGGTCATGCATATAGTGAAACCTTAATTATTTCAATGAATTTATGAAAGCTCTAACTTTGAGGTTTATTGGCTCTCTCCCAGAGCCAATCGTACATTCTCACTCACATCTTCAACTCATGAAGGAGCAGGACGAATTTGGCAATATGGTTTGGGGAGTGGCTGAAAACAAGTGAAACTCAGTTAATTGAATTCTCAACTCTCATGGATTCAGGGAGGCACATGGGAGATTCCCATCGGTTTTTTGCCTTTGTACCATCAAAATCACTCTCATGCAGAATGCTGATGTGTTGACCGGGAAATGAGGAAAGGAATTGGATCAACAGTGGATCATGCATTATACCAAGAAGCTCAGCTCCGCATACTCAATTAATTGCCTCTCTTGCAGAACGGGGAAACTGCATTATCCAACAGATGTGTGTGGCCCACTGTTCGAGGAGGAGCTGGAATTTTGGGGCTTAGACTCCAATCAAGTGGAGCCGTGCTGTTGGATGACTTACACTCAGGTATGCATTCTATTTACCTGTTCAATTAGCATTTTAAACTCAAGGCGCACTCTATTCGGTGGCTGCGTTCTCGTGATTATGTTGAATTAGCTATATTCCCCAGGTAAGAAGCGTTCTTTAGAAAATGGAACACGGAGCCCTCTCCGTTGTGAGAATACGGGTGGATTTTCGAGGAATAAGACAGTGCTCCAAATCCTCTTATTCATCTCATTTTCCATGCTCCCCCTTCGCCCATCTCGTGAATCCCAAGGCAGCAATGACTGAGGCTGCCTGAGGAAGTGGCAGAAAAAATATATATGAGAGAAAGATTGCCAGCAAAGAAGGAGGAGGGAAGAAATGAGAGTGCACGTCTTAATGTGTTGCTTCTGACATAATCATCATCAGGGGTTGAGCAGAGTCAGTTCACGATAATGAATAATTAATCACTGAGTGCAGTTTCCTTTCACCGAGAGCTTCGCCACACAAAAAGCTCGCCGAGAACTGAGGGTGTAATTAAAACGGAGTTCACAGTTTGTGAGTTGTTTGCCCCCAAAACATACTTGACATGGCGAGGGAGAAATATGGGGTATAAAAACTTTACAAATATACAACACAGCGAACATGGCAAATAACACAGTCCGTGCATCAGCCATACAAAATTGAACTTCTGTGTACCCCGTGTAAATTTCCAAGCACAGTGGACAAACATACCACCGATGGGGGAGAATTTAAAATTCCAAACGCACTGAAAATTATTTTGATATAATTTTTCCTGTCCACAATGTTTCACACCACTCAGCCAATTTATGCTAGGCGAAAACCAAAACCATTGTTCTGTGGTGGTGCACATTTTTCCTGGCCGCCATCATCAACAACTGTGAGTTTGGTGGAAAAATATTGTAGAGGACGTGCTCGTACTGCAAAAGGCCACTAAAGAACTTGTATAATTGCGGCAACATTCCACCTGGTGAAAAATCAGTGAAATTTCCGCTTGCGAGGAAATTCAATTAAAACAGTACAACGTTCCCGTACATTTCCCAAACGCTTAAGCGGAAGCGACAAATGAAAGAAACATGCAGAATGTACACTTATATTTTTCGTCCCAATTCTATCAACATGTGTAATTTATAGCAATTAATTCCCATACATTTTTCTCCACTGCACCGCCAATAGCAAAAGAGATTGTCAATTGAATCTCGTACGTTGTCAATTTGAGAAGACCATAAATTGTCTGTAATGCTTTTCCAGACGTTATATTACATTGGGGAGTGATTTAGTTGGATGATAGGGACGGTAAACTAATTCAGAAAAAAAACAGGTGGCTTGGAATAGTGGATGTCTCTGTCCCCTTTTCCCAGTTGTGTTTGTGTTAACAGACACTGAATTCCAATAAATTGGACGCTTGGGGGATGATCACATTCTGGGGCATCTTGTTCAATTTCAAATTTAGGCCATGACCACAAAAATGAGGCTCACAATGCCATTACGAGGCAAGCCCTATTTCGATTCGTTTCAACATCAAAAGCTCATTGAGGAGGTGAACTTGTCTGTTTCATCACCTCAGACCATCTATTTTCGGATGGTATGCATATGGAGAGGAATGTCTGATCACATTTAGGGTCACTTTCTGACACAATAATGGGAAATTATTGATCTCCTTTGTTGCTTGCCCACAGCTTGGCTATGGGCGAAGAGGGTTTGCGAGTCAGCCAAAATTTATAATTCCATTTACTTTGACGCTACTTTCACACCCTTTGGCATTTCCACCGTGTTTTCACACACCCATCAACAGGTAATTTAATAGGAAAATTTCAGCTGTGACTAAATTTCCCCAGGGCATTGTCACATACAAAAGTTCTTCTCTCACTCTTCGGATGTGGTGCGAAAACATCACCCTCACAATTCAATTCACACTTCTCACGTGTTCCACCGAAAAAGTGTCTCTTTCCGGATAAATCTCTCATCCTAATACCCCATAATAATTCTTTCTGCAGCATCGTGATACACAAGAGACACTCGCTGTGCTCGATCGCCTGGATTTGGACACAGAGAAGCCGTCAGAGGAGGAATTGGCTAGGAAATTTGGTTTTGAAGAGGATTACTACAAAGGTACGGTTTCCTGGTGGCAGAACATCAAACCACAAATTTGGTCTCTATTCGATGAACCGTACAGTTCGAATTCAGCTAAAGTGAGTATATGTTCATATTTTTACCGCAATTTATCGATTAGAATGACACACATTCTCCATAAGGCTTCAAGGGAGGAACAAATGGAAAATATTTTGATATGGTTGCTGAATGAAAAGCTCCTTTCACTATACTGTGATATTTTTGCCGTGGAAAAGTTTATAGCATGTGGTTAATAGGATTTCTCAAGAAGTGTTTAATATTAAAGGAGAATTTCTCTAAGAGTCAAACAACTATATAAGCTTTAAATTTTTTTTTTACTATTTAATAAGCAACTTCTTAAAGAAATCTTGCAGAAAAGTTTTCACGAAATTCGTCAAGAATTTTATATAGCAAAATTTCACCTGAGAGCTTCTCCAGCTCTCCAAGTTATGATAGTTGCACGAGTTGCACGTACAATATCAGGCGAAATTCTTTTGATCCTTAATTGAACTATTAGTTAGTTATGGTTTGCAGTGCTTGATGAGCAACTAAATAGAAGTAAGTGGACGAGTAATAAATCGATATGTTGGAGTAGTTTGTGGGGAGAAATAGACTGAATTCTTGCATGAACCCACTCAACATGTTCATATTTGTGGCAAAAATAATTCCTAAACTGTTGAATGACATTTCTGCTGTCTGTACTTTCACTTATGCCACATTCCACGAGGCGCTCGTGGCATTTCCCTAGTGAGCATTATCAATTGGACCTTTGTACACGAATCAGGGTGAGATCTATCGAAGGTGAGTCCTCCAGAGGAATTTCCGTGTGCAGGAGGCTCTCACCACATTATAATTTCCAGCTCCAGCCACAATGCACGGCACGCAAATATTTGGCTATGAGTATAGAAGCGAGGGACGATGTGACTAGAGTGTTTATAGTGGAGGTGACTCACTCGAAAATTGGTTAAGGATTATGAGCCTTTTGCCATTCAATTTAGTGTTTGTCCTCCGTGAATACCCGTCATAAAATTGGTAATCAATTCAATATTGTAATAATAATAGCCTGAATGTTAAGCGCAACACACTACAAATTTAACCACGGTCTCCTCATGTCGGCTGTGCTACATTTTCCATCCATGCCGTCCAATATCAACCCCCGATGGGGCGTCACATGAGATTAAAAGCATGATTGGCGCGGGGCTTGTATGATAAGGGTATGGAATGTTTGTATTGCACGTTTTTCAATGTACACAAAATTCAATTGAATAATATTTTTATTATTCCACCCCCTCCTTGTGTAACACAGTCGCAAATTGCGTGCGAGAATTATGGGGGATAGAGCCTAATTGAATTTCCCGCTCTCTCCCACTTTTTCGTACTTACATTCACTCATCCTGGCGAGAAAATTATGCAAAAAAGTCAGGTGAGAGATAAATTGGAGGCATTTCCTGTGTGACATGATGTTGTCTCAGGTGTTCTCATACATATTCAAATGTGGTTGAGTGTCATTCTGAAATTCAAGGCAAAAAAGGAGCCTCGAAGCAGCTAATGCGCCTGAATTTGATACATTCCATTACGAGGAACCATCAGTATAGTATTTCCTCCTTCTAATGCCAATGATTTTATGGATTACTTGTGGAGAATGTGTGTGCTTCTGCCACTTGATGCATTTCACCGTGCTATCGGAGAAATCAAATACGATTTTCTCTCACCCTGAAATGTCCCATTCTATACGATTGCATTCCATACTGTTGTTTAACTAAATTAATGGGCATTTTCACAGATAATTGGTGTCGTTTCCGTGTTCTTCATTTGCGTTTCCATTTTGTCGTTCTGTTTGAAAACACACCCCGACATGCGGGTGCCCATCATCAGGAATATCACCGTACGCACGGCTAATGGAAGTTCATCGTGGGTGTTGGACAAGGCACAAACCAACGCCCATCTCGCATTCTTCTACATTGAGTGTGTCTGTAATGCGTGGTTCACCCTGGAAATTCTCGTGAGTACCCAATTGATGGTTCACCTCAGAATTGACCAGCATTTGACACGGATTTCCCACACTTCAGGTGAGATTTATATCATCGCCCAACAAGTGCAACTTCATAAAATCATCCGTTAACATCATCGACTACATCGCCACATTGAGTTTCTACATCGATCTGGTGCTCCAGAAATTTGCGTCCCACCTCGAGAATGCCGACATCCTGGAATTCTTCTCAATCATTCGCATCATGCGACTGTTCAAGCTGACGCGCCACAGTTCCGGCCTCAAGATACTCATTCAGACGTTCAGGGCGTCCGCCAAGGAGCTCACGCTCCTGGTCTTCTTCCTAGTGTTAGGCATCGTCATATTTGCCAGTTTAGTGTACTACGCCGAGCGGATACAGGCCAATCCGCACAATGACTTCAACAGCATCCCGCTGGGTCTCTGGTGGGCCCTTGTCACCATGACGACGGTAGGTTATGGCGACATGGCGCCCAAGACGTACGTGGGCATGTTCGTGGGGGCCCTGTGCGCCCTGGCCGGCGTGCTGACCATCGCCCTGCCCGTGCCCGTCATCGTCAGCAACTTCGCCATGTACTATTCGCACACGCAAGCCAGGGCGAAGTTGCCCAAGAAGCGGAGGCGAGTTCTGCCAGTGGAACAGCCACGGCCACCCCGGTTACCAGGCAAGTGTCCTCCCCCGAAGCCCCACCTGAACCCCCTTTGCTACATGCAGCTCCGAACACACCTGAAAAAAGCTTGTTCTGCAATTTAACGAGCGTTAAACAACCTCGCAGCGCTAAAATTTCACACGATAATATTAGGAAAATTTTACTGCAGAGCGCTTATGGAAATTTTACGGTATTTTTTATGGAAGGAAAAAATGATTCATTTAATAAAGTTATTGTGCAATTGTTTTAAATTTACATACATCTCACTTCGAAGTGTCTGTGGCGAAGACAGAGAAAAAAATCACAACACCAAATTTTCAAATTGCTGCATATCTATAAAAAAATTGTGAGTATTAGAATGCAGAGAAATAAATTGTGCGATTAAGTTTGAAACGAGTCTAAATAGCAATAAAATGAAGCTTTTATGTGATATCCCACGAAAAAGGAATGGTTTTCCGTGGAAAAGCTCCATTTTTCCTTAAGCTCATGTGACTTTTTTTCCTAATAATTTATGTCTCTCAATCGCACACAATCCCTTTGAATTATGGCTGGGTTCTCCCTCTTGAGAAATTGTGAATTTGTGGCCGCTTCACGCTCATAATAAACACCCCCAAGGAGCTTTAATGTCCTGCCAATAAAGCACTTTATCGTGTCAACTTTGCACATTTCGGATATGCATTGTGAGGGCGGCGTCCCGAAAATGTACAAAGTACATAAAAGTCCTCAGCATTATGTAAGTTGTGCGAAACCAAATAAAATATCAACGGACATCCAAGGCGAGGATGATTTTGAGAGGGTCCGTGATGTATTTGACGGTTGCAGAAATATGAAAACGGCGGCACTTCCACTGGCCCCCTAATTTAATTCGTGGAACAACTTTACGACACACCGTAAAAATTGTATAAACAGACTCGCCTCCCTCGTCCAAGGCTCATCAACAGACAGGGGAGGCGAAGGAACGCATATCAGTAGGAAAAGGAATTCTTCCTGGGACCTACATTATTCTTATTGCGATATTTCAGCAAAGTACGCGTCGTGCCACAAAAAATGATAAATTATCACCTTTCTATGAATGAAGGCGAAATGAATATTTGATTAATGGTTGTTGAGTAAATTTCAAACACTTCTAAAATCTGATACGAGCAGAAATGAGGTTGGGATCTGTATAATTTTGCAATGTAACCCCTCGCAACATACCAAGGGAAAATCATCAATAATGTGACTGTTGAAACAGTCAAGTGTGTCACTAATCGGTGTGAAGGATGCTTTTGAGAAGAGAACAAGGAATTTTTCAAGGGGTGTCACAGTACAACGAACCAGTTTGAGATGCTAAAACATTTGCAGAGTTTCAGTTTTAATCATAAGGTGTGAATTAATTGTTCCGTTCGGAAATTCATAAGGTTTATCTCCTTCCTTTCGGCTCCTCGCCGAAAAATTCTCCTTCATATTACACATACCGCAAACAGTGAATCGCAATACAATGATTGATTTTGAGTGATTATTTTAAATACCAGAAACCTTTCTCTGCCAAAATTCTCTTAGTCGATAGCCTTCTTACACCATCTTGTAATTCAAATAAGCATTTCCGAATGATTGATCGAACTCTTGACAAAATATGAATAGAAGATGCCTCTATTGAGCGACTGAACGATGGGGAGACAGTAAAAAATCGTCCTTATCAATTTTCCTTTGGTAATCCTTGGCTCTATTCGACAGCAGAACAACCAAACTGTTGCTGTTACCATTTTCGTATACAAATGGGCGTAAAGCAGCCGCAATTATTTAAGCTTCATCTCTCCCTCTTTCGTCTTTCTTCGGATTTCCCTGGCATAACACCCAGCTTTGAGTCCCAACTCAACGCATGGGATTACGCAAACAAGTCCCCAAAAAGATGCCAGACGACGAATTGATAGAAACTTCTTGACGATGTGTCTGTTTGGTTGTTTTGCAGGACAACCGGGAGCGAGCGGGACCCCCATTGGGAATGCACCCTCTGGGCCGGGTTCCGGTGGCACGGGTCCTCGTCGAATGAATGCCAATAAGACTGGGGCGAAGGACCTCGTTGGACCAAAGACAGGTAAAACTCAGTCAAACTCACACCCGAGGAACTGGGACTAAAGAAAAACACTTTACAAAATTACAAAATCACATTTAGGGATAAACACAACTGCCATGGGAGGCAGGATTTAATGTCCTGTCAAGGATATACTTAATCTCACAGCAGAGATGGGTGTGGATTCTCCGCCGTGTGGTATTTTTGTGTCTCTCCTTCATGTTTCCCTAAATAATTCAATTGAAGCCCATCCTCAGGAGATGGAATCACTTAAAGCTATGGGGTGTGTGCCTCTGTGATGATGTGCTTCCATTTAATTTGCAGTGTGTTTTTGCTGAGAAAGAAAATCAATAGATGGGACCCTTTGGTAGGGAAATTCAGTTAAAATAAGTTAAAATATTTGACAATTTTTTTCTTGTATTCAAAATGTTCGAAAAATTTTTCAACCTTCTCACATGCATTTTTCCACAAATGTGAAAGAGAACAGAAGGAAAATCGTGAAAATATGCTCTGTTACTGAACAAAAAAATTTCTATTAAAATTATGCACCAAATGTTTGGTATGTTTGCTCACATTTTCCAACATTCGTACATTTTTATGGAGAAGTTTTAATAAGCGAAAAAATCATGCAATTTGTCTTTAAAAAGGACAGAAAATGATTTTTGTAAAAAAATTATGATAACTTTGCATACAATTTGAAAAATGCCGTTGGCGCAAAAGTATTTAATATTCCTGAAGTTTCTTTCTCACATATGGCGAGCATAATATGAATTCTAGGAATGAAATGGAATATTTAACATTCCATCTTTTTCATATAATTTAATTTATTTTGCTAATGGATTTCACAGGGGAGAAGAAAAAAATACCACAACAGAGAATCCACACGTGAATGTTAGTCTGACTCCCAAATTAAATGTTTTCTGGAGAAATTCTGTTTTTTAACAATTCAGTGACTTCAGGAGAAAGAAAAACTGGAGAAAAATTAATCCACTAATAAGCTACATGTTATAAAATTTTGCTTATGTTGTTGCTTAAGAGAAGTGCACATGAAAAATCAGCAGTACAGAGACACAGAAAGATAACCACATCATAGACCTCAGTCCAGAAATACGGATGAAATTTAATTAAGGAGAAATTGTGAACTGTATATCCATTGCCATAATTTCATTTATTTTACATTATACGCTTTAATGAACACATTACAAAATAAAGATAATTCTCGCTTTTACAACACGTTACATGGTTTTTTTTTTCTCGTAACACAGACAATTTTGTGGGGAGACACACAGAATAGTTGTTAAATTCTGAACATCATGAATGTTTTTTTTTTATAAAAAAAAAATTGACATTATACAGAGTATTAATTTAGTAGTAAAATTGGACTTTTCTCTTCATTTTTTCTGTATTGAATTTATAGATGAATTTTCACCGATGATTACCACAAAAGCAACGGGTGGCAAGATGGCACGACTTTTATAATAGTTACGCTCCTCCTGCAAAAAAAATTTTAAGTCGAAAGCTCCAAGCAGTGCTTTTTCGTGCAATGAATGCCCATAATGCTCGCTATGCCATTGCCTACACACCCACAATATCAGTGAACAGAATCAAATCAAATACCAAAAGTTATCAAGACACTCGAGATACCGAAATAACCAATAAATCAGCCGACGAAGCCAATCACAGCGAATAGTGATGAAAAGAAGGGGAAATAGCGTAAATTTATTTCAATTTCCTCTTTTTATCATATATCTTATATTTGTTAAATATCACCATTTCATTATTTTTCCATCCTTTTTGCCTAGATAAAAAATGATTTTCTTTTTGGACTTTTGTGTGTCAGCGTGTGTTTTTTTGTGTATCATCACGCCAATCGATGTTTTTAATGTCTTTTTTCTGTTCCTCTCGTCTGTGTTTGTGTTATTTAATCGATAAGAGTGCTATTTAACGATAGTTGATGTTGAAATGGTCTCAACAGAAGGTCGATTTGAGATTTTTTCTGTGATAAATGACCATTCATTGATTGCTTTCGATGTTTCCAACCCTGTGATTGTGAACATTTGTACAAAGAAACACCCAACAAAACCCAAAATCAGAACCCATGACAAACTTAAATTTTTCACCCCCACCCACTCATTGGCCCGATACATTCCATCTCCTTTATAGGTAGATATTGGGCGGGAGAAAGAACCTAGAAACGAAATTCAGAGTGACGTCGAATGTGCAAAAGACTAAGCAAAGTAACGTTGTAGGAAAATATTGACTTTTCACTAATTAAATAGACAATGACTGTGAAGTGCTACAGGATTTGTAGATTCTGGCAATTTCCCAGGGAATTTGTTCGGAAATTGCTCCCCAGTGGAATTCAGAGTCTCAATAGAATAAACTTTTCTTTTATCCGCACTGAACGCTAAAGGGTGTGCCATGTGACAAATGGAGATACATTTGCGCTATATTGGTGGAAATGGTTGTGATTATTGCGTGAAAGAGATGCTCTCAAAAGTAGATTGACTGGCCTCTCAAAAGTTTTTGGGCAATTTCTTCCTGGGCGACTCCGCATGTGAAAACCTGTACAGACGAAAAGCTTTGCGTACAGGGAAAAGGCAATTTATTGTGAAACTCAAATTAATTAATTCAGTAGGGGAATGATGAAACTTCCTTCACAATATACAAACTTGCGATTCTGATTGACCTCATTGACAGAGGAAAAGTGTGTAACTTTGAGTGAAGGATTAATTTATCACGGATGAATATTTGAGCAGGAGAAAGAAACTTCACATCTGCAGATATTCGTTTGTAACCCGCCCAACTTATCAGTCATGTTAGGAAGTATTTACCAAATTTGCGGATGTTGTGAACAATACGCATTTGTTGTGTCAAGACATGAACTTGCTCACACCCAAAATTGTTGCGGAATATCTCAGTGTCAAGGTATTTTGTCAAGCAGAACATGATTAGTAAAGTTTTCGTGAACTAACAGTGAGATTTGACTCTCTCGGGGGAGAGATTGTGAATACATGAAAAGGGAAAATTGGCCACGGGGGTGCTGGCAGAGGAGATTGTGCCTCAAAGGCAGAATCAGGAGGGATAATCGCACAATACGGAATGGAATAAACACGCCAACAAGCACAATGAGTTAGCGAAGCTGCTTCCATGCCACTTTCAGTCTCTGACTCCAAATGTGCCCTCAAATGTGGGAGTTTCCGTGGGAGAAAGTGCCAAGGAATTGAGGTTGCTCTCACTCCTTCTCAAGGGGCGTCTCTTGGGCAATGTGTGGCGCTTTTGGTAGTTGCGTGCCTCTGTCAGCTTGTCACGCACTCCGGTAATCGATCATTCCACCCACAGACGCAGACCTCCCTTTTGTACGCCAGATAAGTCCCTCCGCAAGTGGCCTCAGTGAGGAGGCACATGAGAAAGCTCATTTACTCACTTTGCGGATTGTCGTGAGAGCACTACGGCCGACCAGAAAGTATGTTACCAAAATGATTTCATACCTTCCCACCCGCATTTCCGCCCACTTTCCACCTCAGCAGAGAATCGCCATATATTCACGGAATTGTCAACTTTTTGCGGTGTCCCAGGAGAACATCCGATTGGCCCACTGGTAAATTATATGTAAAAATTCCCATAAAACTCTGGCAGAAAGATTGCTTGGTGATGGATCATGTTATTGCCTTTCAGCAGAGCTGAATTTGGGCCTTCAGCGAACATGAAATCCGTCCCTGTTCGAAAAAATCCTTTATGCCGGGCACAAGTCTTTATGCCTGTATAAGTAAATTTCCCATGGGACTTTTCTGATGGCACTGCTTTTGTAGTCAGTGAAATATAATTTTACGATTGAGAGCCTCATCGTGCGTTTATGCCACCCATTTATTCATGTCCTAGTGAACACACGATAAATCGATGAGTCAATTTCCTGTTGTTGTGTTTGGCAGCCCCTTTGGCCAATTTGCCTGGCCACTCAAGTGCCACGGTGCGTGCCTTCGAGGCGTGCTCATTGAAAGTTCATCAAAAGCTCATCCATACAATATTGTCTGGGACATCTCGCCAGCGTTTTATTGTCCATGTCCACATGCTCGCCACTCAGGCGATTTGGGGGATGGACAAAAACCGCCCCATTAGCTGGGCCGAGACAGAGGGGGGGGGAGAATTATAGGCAATGTTTGAGGAATAAAAAGAGACAGAGCAAATGTATGGGCTTTTGTGATGGGATAACTGATGCTTTAATCCTCATATTGACACGATGATGTATTTTATGTGTTTATCGAGCAATTTGTGCACTCCACTTTAAGCGTTTTAATCAATTCCAACACGATTCTTATTGATGGGCGTTCATCGATCAAAAGGCGAGGTCGCTGGAGGGACACGCACATAAAAGTGTGTGCAAGGTGAAAAATCACCCCGAGAGAGCTTTGTTGAGAGCCATTTCCGCATTGCGGTACATTGTGGCTTCCCCGGTGAGGCTGCCACGTGTGGGATGGGGTGAGACGTCACGACGGTGGATACTCTCACCCAAAGTGGTGGCACATGTGCTGCAATACATCCTAAATTTAACTTTAAGGCCTTCAGCCCTACAACCTCTCGCACATAAATAAATATGAGCGCTTCGACACACTCCCAAACGTCTGATAATATTGAATGGGAGCACGGAACTTTTCTCTCCGCAGAGCCACCCACAAGACATGGCCAGATGCTGACTACAGACAGGGTTAGCCAGGAAGTGCTTCCTGCAATACTTCCCATAAGTTTCGGCGAAAACCACCGGGCAATTCACTTGCAAACCCTGCATTCTCTTAGTGGATAAAAGAGACACTTTGGCGATGAGCCTTTATTGGAAATCGTGATTGATGAATTGTTCTCGCTTTAATAAACCCCCACCGTAGCGGTCATATTTCAAAAAACCCCCCACGGTTTCTCGCATATTTCACTGAGCGCACATTATTATGACAACACACTGCATTTGCGCTGAGAGTAACCCCAATTTTGTACCCTTAACATGAGTGCCGCTCTTTTTGTGGCGAAACTCCACAAATGACCTGCACTAATTTCGGATTAAAACTATTGCCAAAATTAGTGAATAAAAACTGACTACACAAATTAATTGTGTTAAACTGATACAGCATCAGTACAAAGTTGTGCACTGTATCATGTACATATTTCAAAAGCTCATTACGAATTCCCAATGAGATTATGAACTATGCGCAAAATGCATCTATTTGCAAATAGCGAAAATACAAATAATGAAGGGATTCACCATTGGGAAATAATGATGCAATAATTGAAACCCTTTCTCGCAATATAAAGTAAATGCGTTTTAAAGCTTCTTCTCGAAAATACTGGAAGCATTTACTGACGGAGAAATAAATATGAGAAGCGCCAGTTGAAATGAGTTTCGTGCTCCGCAATCAAATCGTAAAAGTAATGCAAGTTAATAATATATGGCAGATAGGGAAATAAATGAAATCCAAATTATTGACTGTGCAATGTGCATATATGAATTTTATCCTATTTTGCAGACGACGCAATTACATGTAATTCAAATCGATTGAATGGAACAAAATCCGACGGTTCGCGGGATTAGGTACCTAAAGAATTTAATAGCATATTGTTATAGATTTTCCACCTCTTTGTCCCCCGCTTTCCCCTATATTTCGTGTACAATATAACATAGAGAAACATGAATATTTATACATAATTACAATTCTTCCTATACCACAATCTGCAACGGCGAAAGCTCAAGTGGAAGTTTTCTGTTACATCTAATTTTGGCACATTAACCGAATTACTCATCCGCATTAGCTTTTGAGGGGATCGCTGATGGGAAAGCCTTTAGTACTATCACGCATAATTTGCCACCTTCTAGTCTATACATAACAATTAGCTCTTGTACTCTCGCATTTTCCCAGACCTCCATTCTTTGCTCGATTTTCTAAACTTTTCCACTCGCCCTTCCTACTCTACGCACTCTCTATTTTCCTCTCGATTTTCCCGAGTTGCCCACTCCGCAAAAAGGGTCCCTCTATTCCACCATAATGCCTTTCTCGCCGTCATTTTTCTGGGGGCGCCCCAATGCGCTGCGAATTAATATTTCAGTGTTTGTAATACCATAATTTTTCACTTAACTTGAGGCCGATGCGGCAGGAAAAACAACCACGTGAAAAAGCTCATTGGGAGCTTTTTGGGGCCTTCTTGGAAAATGAGCGCGTAAACCATGTTTAATCTTCATTTAATCCGTCAGCAATTTTTAACTCGACACTGTGCTTCATGTAATCAGGGTTAATTTATTTATGTGGTTTTATCCCCAAAATCCCACACATAAATCAATATTTTTTCTTCCTTTCAGCCATCGAAAAGAAAGGGTTAAAATGTAGCGGAAGGAATTCAGTCTCTTAATTTATAATTTAGTTGAAGTGGGGACTTGCACAGCTCAGCTAATTATCTTATTTAATTGCCTAATTCATACTTGTCCTGATTCAATTACAGCACAGATTGGACACAACGTGGTTCAGTGGAAGCATTTATTTTCAATATGCTATTTAAGTGGTGTTTTGCTATTTTCATTGGAATCCATTTGGGGCAACAAGCGGTGCAATATAGATAAAACACTGACCGCCGCATTGAGGCTCAATTTCCGCGGGAATGTCATCAATTAATTTCGTGATGTGTGAATTAGGCGAATGTCTAAACTAAACCACGCCAAATTTATTTATTCATCCTCATCTCGTGCACATAGTAGACAAGAGCGGATGTGTAAGAGGCACTAAATGGATAAATTAGGCAGAAAACGACGCATTTAAATACGCTTAAAGCACCGCCAAAATATTCCATTTAGCACTCTGTCAAAATCTCGCGACATGATCAGTCACAGGCACGCGGTTGCGCTCCACCATGACGACATACATTGTTCTGTGTGTGTCAGTTGAATTGGGAGATTCAAACATATGTATTGAGCATCCCCAATCCATCAAAATCCAACCTTGCCTTCTGCCAGAAACAAGCACTTCCGTCCAAAATATGTACTGGGTCACATCGGAAAGAATGCGGCTTTGCGAGGACTTTTAACTGGCAGTGAAGCTTTCACGAGATGCTTGGAATCATTTATATGTAGCTTTTCAAGTGTCTCATCATGCAAAATCTCGGTTTTTTCGATTTCATTGAGACATTCCGCATTATTTCTACCTCAACCCTTATTAGTCCATGACCCATGCAAGTCCTTCCCACACCAAGTCGGTTGTGCAGCATCCGAAAAGGACATTTGGAAGTGATCAACGTGTCATTCAATCTGTCCTCTCAATATCAAATTGAGTTGCCTTTTCACGTGGAAAATTGGGCTTTCTGCATCCCAATCCATATGGCGTAAGAGGATTCTGTATTACAAATCAATCTCGTGGATGCGCGCTGTATGTGACTGAAATGAGAGTGGCGATTCCGGAGGGTGAATTCATATCCTTTGCCAATATCCATGTCCCCTGAACAAATACACATGCCCAATCTTTCAATTCTTCCGAGTCGTCTGATCCTCTAGTGGATTTTCCATATATTTTTTGAGATTTTCAGCCGGAAGCATACGGGAAGAGTGAGAGAGAGATTTGCCTCACCGCAAGACACAGAAAGTGACTCATCTGTCCACCTCCAAAGTCCTCAACATGTTGCACACGGCTTCCCGCAAGAAGGTGGCTTGTGAGCCTGAATGGGTTCGGAAACCGGTGGGATGTTGGTGAAATTGAGAAAATGTATTCCAAGCACAAGCTCCACATTTTGTGTGTCGAGAGCGATTTGGAGTCATCGGACAAATCGATATAATCCTCTCTCGAATCAACTTACCACCCACCACGTCGAGCATTAAACTATAGTAATCCCATCATCATTTTCGGACGTCAGTTTTCGTTTCTGATTCCCATTCGGCAATCATCCTCCTTTCATCTGCACTCCCTCTCACACCACATCCACTCTGCCCGTCTTCAGCTCTCGTGCATCTCTCATGTTCTTTCCAACTTCCATTTGAATTTGACAAGAATCCTTCAAGGATCCTGCAAAAGAATTCTCCACTCGCATGGTAACAGTCTGATCTGAAAGCTCACGGTTTAAAAATGCATGAAATTAGGTTGCACGACTTTTCTTTCTAAACAATTTTACCGACATCTTCAACATTATATCGTAGCGTGAGTTTATTCAGAGTTTCGAGGCATTGCTTTAAGGAGAATAATTATATTGCGGTATTAAACAGTTACTCAAGATGCTCTTTAACAGCTTTACTCTCAGTTTAAAGATGTTTTGATATAGCCAGAGGGCTTTATCGCTTTGTGTAGGAATGCTACTGACAGCTTTAACAAATCATTCTCACGATACAATGCTTCCAAAAATAACATTTTACAGAGAAAGCTATCATCCAAACGATACTTTAAGACATATTCGATATTCAATACGAACGCAAGCTTGCAACTCTGAATATTTCTCCTTCAGTCAAGAATGGTGTTATTGCAATATACTCTTGTTTACACAAAGCATAGTGAAATTTTATATGATTTTTCATACAATACTGAATGGTTTGAACAATATATATGTATTTTTTGTTGAACCAGAACTCAATGTACATAGAAAAATACAATTCGAGGACATTTTTCAGGGGTGAAATTTGTTTGATCCTCACAGTGAGTGTTTTTTGGTGAATAGTTTGAGCAAAAACTGTAAAATGTCCTCGGATCCTTCATGGTTGGTTGTATAAATGTATTTACATTGTGTCACCGCTCAGTAGTGTGAAAAGAATGAGTATCATTTTGAGGGGTGGCACCTGACATAGAGCATTAGCATTGAGGAGAGGGACGGAATGCGTGGAGATTAATGAATATTTCTTCGTTGTTTGCATAGGACCGATTGGAGCGTCAATTGTGGCCATCAGTCCGCGCCACGTGCTCGATCTCAATCCCGCCCTGGCGATGTCGAAGCCACTATTTGAGTCCAAGGGGCCACCGATCATGGCGAAGGAGCCAACCACCAACAATACCACGACCAGCGAAAAAACTTTCCTATAATTTATCGCCACTGAGAGTGAAATTGTTTATTGATTTTCTCGACTGAACGATATCAAATATCCATCTTTTGCACACACATTTTCATTCACATATTGACACAATTCATGCTACAGTATTTTGTCACAAGGAGAGAATGGCGGAGAAGCATGCGAGAGAGATGTATAAAGTTACATGTACATAGGGAGCTAGACTTAATTGAATTTAGAGTGACATTGAGACTCTTTCTAAATTTTACACACGTCACCCCACGATAAGAATGGCGACATGGCATTATCCACTGGATTAATGGTGCGAAATCGGCCATAAATATTCAATCAAATCAAATTTGAGGCTATATATCTCGAAGACACAGCTGCTTGTCATATCACTTCATACCGGAGGACAGAAAATCCCGACAAGAAGGTAAGCATTCAGCAAGATAACTCTCGCAATTCATGACAAATGAAGCCGAAAGTCATTGAGATGGAAATGCTGGGGAATAAACATAAATTTAATATTTTACCATTAAAGCCAAGATGTCTTTGCAGATGAGAAAGATTTGCCGGAAGCTTTGCAAGATTTCTAATTCAAAATTCATATACCAAATTCACTGTTCAAACAGAATTTACACCGCTAACGAGAAAGAGAGGAACTCTGCGAGAGAGCAAATCAAATACAATTGTATGATGAATGAATTGCGAGCCACAGAGAGCTTTTGCTCAAATATGACAGCGCATAGGGAGGGTTGTTGCATAATGAATTACGTTTATTCTGGATGTAAGTAAATTAAATTGGGAGATGCATTTTTCATGCAATAAAACTACAAGGAAATTCGGTATTGAAAAGGAAGGAAGTTCAGATTATATACAGATAATTTCCATAACGCATAGTGCTTGATGTATTTTTTTCTCTGATTACATTGATCTTGGAGAACCTCAAGAAGTCATTTGAAGTGCATTTGCGAGCTCTTTCATGTTGAACAAGGCAATGAAAGCATTAAAAAGCTCACATTATTCAGACCCTCCGAACTTTCTATAGCTCTCGCAATGACTTTCAAGGAGGTAAATTGGACCAAATCGCATGGAGAGTAGATGGATTTTTCACCTCCCAATTGGCACTACTCCAAAGGAGGAAATTTTATTCATTTCCCCGTCGCAGGCTTCCGCCTTTCACAGGCAAAGTGTTGGAAAGGCAAATCGAGGAAATGTACAAGTCCATTTCTGCATTGGCTATCATGAATTATAGGATTATTCCGCATCACTTTGCTAAATTAATTACACCATCCAGAGTTAGAAAGTCTCCAGAATGACGGAGGTCAGGCCATGACATACAAGAAGAATCACATTTATACTTACGGAGAGGCACATTTCTCATGAACACATTGACAAATCTAATTCATCGAACAATTGTAGCTAGATAGAGGCACTTTTACTAGATTTCATCGTACTTTCTGTTAAAATTCATGTCCATAAATGTATAGAACTTTGCAACACTATAGATATGTATATCAATAAACAAACTAGATAATTGTAGCAAAATGATGGTTTCATAACCAAGATTTTATATCATAATTCATGAGAATTGCAGCAAAACAGCAGGGGAGATAAACAGAAAATATGCACATTGAATTTCCAAACCATAAATTTCCATATCAAAAAGTGCTCAAATTTCCACTTACCTATCATTGAATGTCATCGACAAAACACAAATTCCATATTTAATCGGTGCATCTAATCAGGAAATTGGTTTTATGCAATGCTCTTAGAACTTGAAAATTGTTTAATTCTGCGTGACATCAAATTTATTATAAATATCCCCTAACTTTGTGTGCAACATCCGGACCAAAACAGCATTACTAAGCATGAACAGTGTTTTAGAAAAAAAAACCTTAGCAACTTCTCATAAAAAGTCTCTTTCTGCAACATGATAGGAAAGATGAACAATACAATAAGAATTTTTTATTACACTCAAAGTGGCAACACAATTTTCCATTTTACATGTGTGTGTTTTAGCTATTTGATAACAAAGCAGAATCTACTAAAAAATAAATATACATATATATATATATTTGTAAAGATAAAAGTATAAATAAGCTATAGTTAAATAAATACAATGTAAGATTACGGATAACAGATAGTTTTCTAAGTTTTGTTCACGTTTATAAACTTTATCATTGAAGTGATTGAAAAATCGTAAAAAGAAAACCAAACAAGCATTTAATGTGATAAACCGTAGATAAAATGCCGAGAAATGGTGTGGAAGTGAAGAAAAGCAAGACAGCAAGTTGGAATGTGACCAAAATTACTGCACAGGAAGGAAGGGTCATGTGTAAAGTTAAAAAAAAATGTTGGGAAAGCAACACAAATCGGCCATCAGAGATATTCATTTACATATTAAATTGACAAATTACAATTTATCTTAAATAAAAACTATCATAAACATTAAATATAATAATTAGGAAATGAAATTGAATAAAATATTTAATGTAATAAACTTCTTTCACAGAAATCAACACGACACATTTGATGAAAATCACTCTAAGTAAAGTCATTCTCACACGTGCAACACACATTGTATCATTTTCACACATTTCTATAGTGAGACATGGAGGTATAAATTAAATAATAATCATAAAGCTATTGAATCAAATAACAACTGACAAGGAGGCAAACTACAAAACTTATACAATTTTAGGTGAAGAAAGACACTCATGAAATCATTTTCTTACATTAAGATTTTAAAACTTTTCAAAGAATGCTATGACGAAAACCTATATGTATATCATTGGAACTTTAACAAACAAGGAGGAGTTGCAGATGCGCGGTGAAGGCGGTGAATAAGGAAATTTAGAGAATTTACAACAAAAAAATGAGTGACAATTTCACATAAGGATATAAATGAACTGTATATCACAGAAGAATGAATACACGGAGAAAGAAAAGAATATCAACCATTGTTTCAACTCGAGAGTTACGATGATGACAGATATTTAGAGAAGAGTGACAAGAAATTAAAGTTATACAATAAAATTTCAAGATTGTTAAGAAACCCGTGATTTATCGCTCGTCAACTCACAAGCATGGCATTTGTGTCCATCTGAGGCAGGCGCCAATGTTCTCCTCCGGACTCCCCTTGTTGTTGCCGTCACCAAAGTGAAACCCAATCCCGAACGGTGTTACTGACGTCTCGATGCGACAGGGCGTCTGTCCCGGCGGACACAGGCTGCTGCCACAGTGCACTGGTCGGCACATGGAGACGTCGCTGGCCCCAATGAAGTCCTCCACAATGCACGGCAGCGTCATTCGATCCGAGCAGAACGGGAAGAATTGGCGTCCCTCGCGGTCCCCAATGCTCCTCCAATTTCTGAAGATTGATTGCCAGGAAGGAAGTTGGTATTATGGTAAATTGATTAAATTAATCTTCCTGCAATCTAATCGCAATCTGTGTGCTGAATGGATAAATAAATTGATCAGCCGCCACAACACAATTTATACTCAAGGACGAAGCATGGACTTTGGCAATATCCTCGTACCGCAACGATAAAATAAGATATTCTAACATGATAGGGGCATTCAAGTAAGTCAATTGCGATAAATGTATAATTTCTGTTTCAAATAATGGAAATTAAACATAAAAATATCTCTTTAATGCGTTTCCATGTAAAAAAAAAGAGTCCTTTTCCAGAAAGCGCTGCAGACAAGATGATTTTTAGTTACATCTCCCAAAAATCCGAGGCTCTATCTCTGCACAGATGTGAAGCTTTCACATGGCAAAGCTCAGCGAATGTATTCCACTAACAAGACAACACAAACACCGCACACATCTCTTTGACGACTCTCTGTATACCTACTGAAGTCATTCCCTTGTACAATTTATATCCAAGAAAACACATTTTGCCATGAAGCTTTCACATGGTTCAGAGTGCAGATGAAATGTGTGTAAAGCAGCGAGGCAAAAAGCTATCGTCAACGGGAAGATTCAATTGGAGGAAAAAACAAAATCCTCTTCAGAATCCCATCCATGTAACGAGGTTCTAAAGCGAGAATAGTTGAAGTAATTCACATGGATTTTTGCCTCTCTCAAACACTTTGACGAATTATCCGGGCGAAAAGAGAGCAAGAAGGAATGCTGTACTACTGAAGACGGTGAAAATGTGGCGGAAATTGAGGCCTTAAGAGTTGGTAGTAGAATAGATTAGGAAATATGCTGTGACAATTTACCTGAAGGAGAAGAAAGATGTGAGGGTGCTGAAAAAGCCTCCACCTCCGGATCCTTCCGCCTCGTCAGCCGCATCATCAGCCACATTATCCACTTCGTCATTTGCCCCGCCATCAGACACATCATCAGCCACGGCTTCCGGTGGCGCTGCGGGATCAGCATCCGGAAGGCCATCTCCTGCTCCCTCGGCCGCAGAATCTGACGCTCCCGCATTTGTCGCACCATCTGTCACCACTGAATCCGATAAGGGACCTCCACTGCCTGGTGGAGCGCTGTTCACTGTGCCCGCTGGGACTCCAGCCGACCCAGCGCCAGCTCCTCCACCCCCAAATGCTCCGGGAACTCCTCCTGCTCCTGCTCCAGCACCGGGATAGCCATACCCGGGATACCCTCCATACCCGTACATCTGCTGTCGCTGCCCTATGCGGAAGGAGAAGGGATTGCACGGCTCGTAAGCAATGGAGCACATCCCAGTCTCCTGTCGAATGCATGCGCGATAGTTCTGATTTGCCAGATGTCTCCCGTTCTCGGCATAGTTGAAGGTCTGGATGAGACCCTCGCTGCCTGTGAAGTATTGCAGACATCCCGCTGGCGCTCTCTGGCTGAAGGGAATTTGAGCCACGCGGATCTCCCAGAGGCGCGGCAGGAATGCAGACTCGGTGAAGTTCATGAGGACTTCAACCGTCCGGGACACCACGTCTGTCTCCGACATTTGGCGTCCTGGCGGTCTCGCGAGTGACTCAAGATCGTAGTAGACTGGAAGGAGAAGCTTACGTTGTGAAAACTTAGGCAATTTCACGAATACACACTGAAGACTCACTGTGCTGTCCACTGTTCTGACCGCAGATCTTGAAGTCAGTGTGCGCCGAGACGCCCGATATGACACTGAAGAGATCGCCCTCGCAGATGCCCGTCCAGCGATTAGGCTGCCCCAGCTGAAAGTGGATGAAGTCAAATCTGAGCTGACTGATGTCCTCGTCAATCATCTTTATCTTGAGTCTGCAACTCTTCACGTCGCGCGACATAACGCCCGGGAAACTCGGCGAAACTATGTAGGTGATATTGTTGGAGACTTCCTGATCGCAAGTGGCGATAACTGCGTATTCAAAGAAGAAATTTAGGCCATGTTATTTGAGTAACTTTTCACATGAGTGGGAAGAGCAGAATGATGGCGAGAATAAGCTTTTGTCAGGAAGTTTTATGGAGCAAGATTGGAGGAAGACGACACAGGGATTAAAGTTTGTGCACGCACAATCTCTCCCTTTTCCGGGCTTGAACACTAAAGCGTAGAATTCTATTCGATAAAGATTTTTCACTCTTTAAATTCACATTCAAATACTATTTTATCTATATAAATTCATTCATTTTTGTCATTCAAACACCATCACTTTCCACAGAATGAGAAAGAAAAGTTCACAAGTCGCTATAAACTTTAGTTTAAGTGTTCAAATTGTGTTCAAGATCTTTTGTCACAAAAGAATGTTTATATAAGACAACTTGGCTTTTAGTGTTTCATGAATAGACGGAAAAATTATCAAAGAAAATCCGTCAAATAATTATAGTCATGCCATCTTATAAGAGCAAGTTCCTTGTCACATTGTTCCTCTTTCACTGTCATTCTCGCATCCGCTGTGAGTGTGCAAATAATATGAAATGTATAAGATGAGATTCTTCACTTTTTCATCAAATGGAAAATTGTGGTGTGCAACAAGAAGTGCGCAAAAGTTGAATTCATTCCCTTTCTCGTTCAAAACTATGCTATTGGATGCAAAGAGAATACGAGAAAAAGTTCTCATAATTCCCTTCACTTGAGAAATACGACGCGCTTCTATGGAAAAACTTTAAAGTCACAATTAAAATCGTGATGAGCTTCAAGAAGTCTCATCCGGCGTGCTTAATAACCACAATCGTACTCGCCAATGAGCAAGTAATTAACCCAAATCACTAGAGAAGATCAATATGTCACTCTCTCTTCAAACACATTGCAAGAACTGCAGATAAGTGCAAACTTTATGCTCAAAATATGTATAGTGAATAAATGTGAATGTAAATTTAAGTTGTGCAAAAGGCCACCTGAATTTTAATTCACATTTAATTGTTTGCACAAAATTGAATGCGTCATATATTAATCATTTACTTAAAAGCATACGTGCATTATGGCAGTGCAGATGAATTTATGGATATTTTTCGCCATTTTAATCCGAAAAACATCAAATATAAAATTGTAGCGCATTATCTGCAAAGAATTGCCATGCAAAATGTTTAATTTAGCTTCCACTGGCCGTATGTCATTAAAAATTGAAAATTAATATCGAAAATTCACTTTTCTGTCATCATCCATTTTTCATGTTAGATTTTATCCACTGAAATATGCTTTTACGGTGAAAATGATCTGTCGCCAAAATAGTAATGATGTGTGTGCATAAGAAAAGCAATTAGACAAGTGCACATGTTGCCAATATTGCCGTGAGATGTTCGTTCATTTGGCTGGCAAGACTGTTAAGATGATGAGTTTTAGAAGTAAGGAAAGCACACAAGTCATCGCGTACAATGATTGTCATAGGAAGTTTGCTCGACTTTTCAATAAGAACACAACGCATAAGATCAAGATGACAAATTTCTGCAGTATAACTTAATCACATAGTTAGGAAAATTTGAGCTTCTTCCACGTCAGATGATTTGCTTGTTAATTTTATGAGCTCATTGAAGTGTGAAGTGTTAAAAGTTGTTGCCGAAAGAGTTGCTGTGCATCAGAAGAGATGGTTTGGGAGGAACTTTTTACTGTTTACATAAACAACACAAAGTTAATCATGGTAGAGCGAAAAGAGGTAACAAAGTTTTGCCATGGATGAACAGTATAATGTCCACTTCGTGAATGATAAGAAAACCCATGTGCAAAAAAGATGCAATTCACCCAAACACACCAGCAGTTCTTGTGGATGAAAGAAAAAGTTAGAGCAATTTCATTGGGAGAATCTCATTTTTATTGCGATGCGCGCATTTCAAAAGATGCTGAAGAAGCGTTTGGGAATAAAATTGTGAGTGGCGAAAAAACTTTCGAGAGAAGAACAGCGATGAAAGTCAGCGCGATTTGGGCGAGAGTTTTGGGATCAGCGGATAAAAAAGAGAGTGGTCAACTTACAGACGCAGCAGACACCGAAGCCCAGGGCACAATCGCCGTTGGACGTCCCACCTTGCAGGCGGCATTCGTAGACATTGAGGCAGATTCCAGACCGTCGACCGTCACTCGAGAGGCACTCTTCGCTCACCGGAGCAGCAAAGAAGCCCAACACTGGGATGGCGAAAGTGAAAAGTCAGCAGAACCACTAAAATCCCTTTTAATTTGAAATCTCTTCGCGGCAATTGTGGCGCGATCATTACTTAACAGCCCGAGGCTGTGTTACGCGACCGCACAAGAGATTATGCGGTCGGAAGTGTGTCTCACCTTTCGACGAGCGACTGGCTGACTTTGTCGCATTGCTCGAGATTCTCGCGTTCGCCTCACTCTGAACACTATTGCTCGGCGAGTCGCCCCAAATATCGATGTCCATCAAATTGGGCGGCGCTCCTCCACAGGTGACCGAGAGGCATAACAACACACCGAAAACCCTCCATCCAGACATTCTCTCCCGCTGCTGACTAGTTCTGGTTCACTTAACACGAGACTCAGTAAATGGCAAAGGGACTCCGAGCTATAAGCGGACGTCGCACATATCTTATCGTGTCACGCTGAGTGCAAATTGACTAATCACGGTGCTAATCGCCCACCTGAAGAGTTTCGGCGGTGAAAGCGGAAGCACTGTTGCAAATGAAGCGCGCGATCTGACTAGCTCGAGCGACAACAAACTACTGATCACAGCGATCATCCGGAATGATGCCGCATCCCAGAAAGTGGGTCATTCATCTCTGAGTCACCTTGGCCTCGGTGTTGACCAGGTGCGCGTCTCAGGTGAGAACCACTGCAAAGGCGCAAGAGACACCGGAATGACTTAGCGCACCAGGACAGGCTCCAGATTTTGCAGACATTTATAGTAAAAGATTTGTGTGCTGTGATCTTATGGAATCGTGTATTGAGTCAGGATTTCATTTACTGTGCACATTGGCACGTGGCCGCTATCCAGTAGATCCTCACGCGCCACAACGAGCGCAGAGATTCCGGAAGCAGGGAAGAAGTGGCTGCGTCATCGTCGAAGCGCTCATCGCTGAGGGTGTTCTGGTTGGTGCGGTGCGTGAGGATGTGCACCTTGAAGGGCACCTCTTTGCAGCGCGAACCGCGCCAGCACTTCCGGGAGCTGTCCTCGCGATTCAGGCACACTGCATTCATGAGATACCGCGGGAAGCTGTTGAAGCCCATGTCAATTACGTCGTATTTGGTCTGGCAAGCGCACGAAGGCAGATAGTGGGATTTGAATTCCTGTAAGAGAGTCCACGAGCGGATTAAGCGGATGAAATTGCACTTGGGCGATCAGGAGTGAGCGAGATTGTAAATTTCGCCTACCACGTGATAATCTCGCAAAAGTCACACTTACTAATAAAACACTTTTCTTCTGCCATTATCGTCTCCTTCACTATATGTATAAATCCATTTGTTATCTAAGCAATAGTGCCAATCACAGCTAATGAGATAGTGAGGAGTTAAGAGCAAATCTTCACTTACAGTCTCTGTGTAGTCTTTGCGTTTCTCCATCTCCTTCCCGGCGACATCCTTGCCTGTGATGAGCGATAGGAAATTGAACTTGTCGTCTCTGGAGGACTTCTTCTCTGGCACCTGTTCGAGCAAGGCTGCGATGCAGGCGGAATCCGAGGCGTCGCACTGGAGTCCTGGCGGTGGCCTAACTGCCGGATAGTCAAACGAATCCTCAGCACTTCCATGAATGGGTGAGTTGAGAGCACTACCCGCGACAACAGCAACAGCGAGAGTGGCGAGAAGCTGAAAGTATTGTCCAGCGCTAACCAGCAGAATTATCTCCGCACAGCGTGCTTACCAGTGATCCCATGTTGATAGAACTGCCGTGCTAGCGGAGCTGGCCAGTCCTTTTATACACCTGAAACTGCATCCCACTTATGGATATTTTCATGAATGGCTGTCATGGTGACTGTCCATCATCTTCATGCACGAGGATTGGGTTTCAGCGAAAACATCCTCTAATTAAGCAACAAAACACACAACCTCAGGACAAAAGGACTCAAAGAATGCCAAGTGCTAAAAATAATCAACTGTATTGAAAGTCAAGACTCGATGACGACAAAGTCTCTCTTTTCCGGATTGCGGAACACGCAATTTCCAGCAATCCAGGTGGAACACACTTCCAGGTCATCGTTGAGTAGCACCAGATCCGCATCAGCACCGAAGTTCAGTGTACCCTTGCTTTCCGCGATTCCCAGACACTTGGCTGGCGTCAGCGAAGCCGCTTCCAGAGCGAAAACCACTCCACATTGTGCGGATTTCAGAAAAATCCTCACGCACTCATCCATGGGCGCAATGCTTCCGCAGAGAGTCTTCGTTCCGGCCACGTAAGCTCTGCCACCAGAGACGTCCACAGTCATCTGGCCAATGTGATGTGTTCCCTCGGCGAGACCCATCGCCGAAACTGCGTCCGTCACGAGAATCAAACCCTCGGGATGGACTCTGTGGGCGATTCTAAGTGCCGCCGGATGAGTGTGAATCCCATCTGAAATGATCCCGAAGTAGATGGTTTTCTCCGGAGGAATGGCATTGGATGCCAAGAGACCAACAATTCCCGGATCTCTGTGATGAAACTGGAAGACAAATAGAGTATGAAATGAAATCAATTGACCAGAAGAGAAAGCAAGAAACTTACGGGCAGCATTGCATTGAAGAGATGAGTGATGAGAGTCGCTCCGTGATTGCAGGCTATTTCTCCCTCCTTCAAGTTAGCCATTGTGTGTCCCAGAGACACAGTTATTCCCCGTCGACAGAGCTCCTGGATCACTTCCTTGGCGTTCTCCTTCTCCGAAGCCAGCGTGACTATTGACACGTTGTCCAGTTGGCCGTAAATCTCAAGGAGAGAGTCAAATCCATTGCTGAAATCCCTTATGCAGCCCTCAGGATGGGCGCCTTTCTTGCTGGGGTTTATAAAGGGCCCTTCCAGATGAATTCCCAGGATTGTAGCTCCTTCCGCGCCGCCGGCAGTTCGTCCAATCTTGGGCATAACTTGCGAATACGTATCTTTGGGAGAAGTGACCAGAGTTGGGCAGAAGGATGTGACACCGTGAGAAAGAAGTCCTTTGGCAACCTTAGAAACGCCTTCCTCGACAGTCTCGACATCGTAGGAAAAATCCACTCCATAACCACCTGTCCGATGAGGGAAAGACAATCAGAAATCCGCCAAACAATCCACCCAGAGCTCCAGCTCACCATTTATCTGCAGGTCAATGAACCCAGGAGCAATTAGAGCTCCTTGGCAGTCGACCTGGACGTCGCTCTGTTGCTCCTCGTCGAAGAAAATCGCCAAGGGATCGATTATCTTCCCTCCGCGCACCCACAAGTCATCCTTCACGATGGAATGATTGCGGATGAGGCGGCAATTGCGAAACTGTATTAATTTCATGTCTTATCACACCAAGAATCACCGAAATATCACAGATTCCTCCTCTCGTCCGGAAGCAAACATAGAGACTTTCTCACTATAAATGCAGCCAAAAGCGACTATTAAAGTAGTTCAATGAGCGTCACATCACTAGATTGGATTATGTGCTCTCAATATTTGTGCCATAGACACATGATAAGCCGCTGATAAGGGAATTCTTGGGTTAAACATAAAGAGGAGGCCCAATTATTGCGAAAACCACAAACGGACACGACGTTTCCACACAGTTCCACACGACAACGAGTGTGAGCCGATGTTTTGTGGAACGGCTGAACCCATGGCAGCTTTCATTTATTACGCCGTGTAATTTATTCACACAAAAATTCAATCTGTTGCAGAAAACTAATATTAACACAGGAAAAAGCAGAAACACTGAACTTGCAGTTCAATTGGTGTAATTAATGTAGATCAATTAATTCTTTTATTTGTGAAATGTGTTCGGCAACAGGTTTATTTGCGACTCACACTTCTGACCTGTCATCCAATGTCAGAGGAAAGTTTGTAATTCGCGCTGCGTTGTTTTGGAAACCACCTTTTAATCCCTTTTTCACCGTCCACGATGCCTTCCGTGCAGCAGAATCTCATCCTGGGAAGCATCCTTGTGGTCTTCTTGGCCGCGACACTCAGTAAGTTCCGCCAAATGGCGAGTTGGCCGAGAAAAGCCAATGTTTGGGTTTTTGGGAGTGGCCCATTGATGAACTCTCTTTGGATTCCTTGCAGCTTCGGCGATCAGATGCTACCAGTGCTCCTCGCAGACTGACAAGAAGGGCGTGGACAGCTGTGGAGCCTACAAGTGGTTCAACAAAACCCAGCACATTGCCATCGAGTGCAACAGCGATGAGTCACACATGCCGGGATCTTTCTGCACGAAGATCGTTCAGCAAGGACCGCGTGGATTCATCTGTGAGTGTCCGGGAGGCACTCAGGTCTGTCCGGGATTTGCTAATGAGTATCTATTTGATTTCAGGGGATGGCAGGTGGCGACAGGTGATCCGGAGGTGCGCGTCTGTGGCCGACACAGGCGTCACGGGCGTCTGCAACTGGGGCGTGTATGAGAACGGCGTTTACTGGGAGGAGTGCTATTGCTCCGAAGACGCCTGCAACAAATCACCGAGTCTCAGCATTTCCAAAGGGCTCATTCCAGTGTTTCTCAGCATCCTCTCCTTCAGATTACTGTTCTAAGCGCCCTGAGAAGTTCACGAAAATTCGAAAAGAATCCGTCCATTCCCTCTAGGATATTCCGTCCGTAAGTACGAAGCTAGATTATTAGGATTTTGTATTTCACTTAGAGTATTAAAGTGTAATTAACTTGTATATGTGATTTTGCTGCTCAATTCACTCAAATTTGCCGCAGAGAGATCAAATTTTCCCCACGATGGATCTTTTTCCGATGAATTTGCCATGTAAACAAGAATCCCTTTATCCGGAATCTCCTTAATAGCTAGGAAAGTTCTTCTGTCTTCACTCCATTGCTGAATGTGATGAGGAACTTGAATCTGAACGGCATCAATACTTCCAGAAGGGTTTTCCTCTTCAAAAGTCCGAGATTCTGACATCACTTCGAGGAAATTCTTCAGAAAAAGGTTGCGATTTAGTTTAATGAGCCGATCTTCACGGTCCAGAGAGAGGCACTTGTCCAGGTACTTTTTGCAAATCTTCCTGTCCATCGGAGTGCGTAATTTTCTGAAGAAGGCAAATGCGATCTGGAAGTACGTCTGAAATTCCTCCTCGAGGACTTGCAGGACTTCTTCCTCGCTGACCTCAGAAATCTCGGTCATGATTCTCTGAATGAGATGGAGAACAAAAGTATTTGACTGGACTAAATTGCTGAGATTCAACTGGTTTGTTTCTCAACTACACACTGGAGCTTTCAGAGGAGCTTTTCTCCTCTCTTTCAACGTGGATTCTGCGCTTTTGTGCACCACCTGCGAGATTTTCTTTACTTCTCCTTGTAGAACTTGCGAGTCTTGCGGGTCAGCTTTATGTTTGCCGAGTTCAAGGATTGGCACGAGCTGTTGATTTGTTCCAGCGACAGATGCCTTTGTCAGGGCGAAGACTCATATGATAGAGACCACTTTGGCTAACTAAATGGTCCACAAGGGGAAGACTTTTTCCGTGCACACCACGAATGCCCGTCGGGCGCTGAGGGAATTGAGAAAATGTGTCTGTTTTGTGCCATATGCTGATCATTGTTCCGCTGAGAGTCATTGAGATGAGGAATTGTCCGGACAAATGTGCCTCTCAGCCACACTTTCGCCCCCTTTCCACACTAGTCTTCATGCCATCACACCACCTGACAATATAACTGATAGTTTCGCATATTTTTCCAGGCGATATCGTCACTCCTGTCGGCTGAAGAGAGCTGAAAGTGGACAAAAAATCATGAATAATCCATCATAGATTATTTCCTTCACACGTCCACAGTGCGAAAAAAATCATTAGGAGAGCTAATATTTTATCCCGAAGGGAGTCCTTGTTCCATATTTCTTGAGCTTTTCATCGGGAAAGTTGGCAAAGAGTCGCTAGAAGGGGGAGAAGCGGATAAAATTGAGATGAATGAATTATTATTTCATCCCTCTCAAACTCTGTCACCCTCGCTGTGGGGCGCTGCCTTTGTGAGGCAGCAATAATTTCAAGCTCATTTGACGCACAGTGGACGTGATTGAGACCCAAAAAGACCGATTATTGCCTTCGATTTGTACGATGGCTTGAATGCTTGGCTATGTGTAGCAATACTCAACAGCCACATACAATTAATCACTCCGCCGCCCCTTCGCCAACCCAAGAAAATTGACCAAAGGCTGCGCAACATGTCCTCGAAAGCATGAGGCAATCCAGCCAATGATATGCCAAAAGTAGAAGCATTTTCTGGAGAGCCGTTAATCCCAAATTGTTTGCCAAAACCATTAATTTCGGGGAAGTTTCTCGCCTGAACGAAACGTGGAGAATTTAAATTGACGTCATTTTTACATTTGATATATTCAATTATTAATTAAAAAGCATCAGAAAACTCCTTTTACCCCCTTCGGTCGGACAAGACATTGTCAAGCTCTTAATTTCTTCTTCTGAAAGGGAGGAAAAGAAGCACTAGTGAAACCAAATTATATTGAAAAAAAATTAAGTGTTGTTCAATTTATGAAAAGAATAAATTCCTTTATTCGTACACCCTTTTATAACCATCGAGACCTTAGCACCTCTTTCTTCGGCTTTAGAGAGAGCTTTTTCATATTCCTGGTAACATAAAGGGCCCAACGTGTGTTGAATACTGGAAAACTCCCGGCTTACCTCCGGCAATATTGATTGAATGACCAAGATTTTTGTTCAAAGTTTAAATATAAAACGCTCGCAGCGTACAATGCGGACTCACCCTATCACAATGGCACGCATTGACCTCCAACCACCCCTACTAATGGTTGAATGATAAGCAAAGCTTTGCAATCTCATGCGAACATAATATGTCTCTATAATTATCCACCCAACGGTGGGGCTTCAGGCACGCAGATTTCGCAGAGATGAAAGCGTCTCCTCCAGGCTTCGGTGACCAAAATAGCCTGGAAAATCAAACTACACATCATTACGCTTCTCAATTTATAAGCTGCTTTACTGGAAAGTCCCTTCGTGCTCTATCAAGCGCAGAATTGCAGAAACATTGTACACGCGATGGCTCTTTTAATCCCCTTGCTTTCTGTGGAGACCACAAGTGTTTTGTACTGCATTCTTTGCACTCCTTTGTGCGCCGTAATCTCAGCAATGGTGTTTCTCTAACAACCACTTGCCATCGAGGATTTTCCATGCTTGATAGCTGATTTCATTTTAGATACACTCCATAATGTGTTCAATCCGAGAGCAACGTCGAAACAATTAAGTCATTAAATGAAAAAGTATACGGAGAAATTTAATACAAATCACAGGAGTATTTATTACCCCCTAATCTACCCTGGAAATGATAGGATCTGTGAAGGGATGTAATTGCCCTCAACATATCACAATGATTGATGGCTCTTTCCGGCTAATTTTTACCAATCCTCATTTATTAATTGAATTTTTCAAATAATGCCATATTCAGTGTTAATCATATGCGCAAAATAGTAATTAAATATTTCCGAATTATTGTGCACATTGTACACCTGCTGATAACTGAGATAAAAGCTCTATATTAATTACACCGCCATAGCAAAAGCAAATTGAATGGCCACGCATATCGGAAATAATATTCAATGATATATACGAGCTTTATGGGATATTTTAAAGCTCAATTACGCAGAAAATGGCATGTCTCCCGAAGGCCCAGCAAAATTGTCAAGTTTCGAGGCTCTTTATACATATCCACAAGAAGCATGAAATGCTGCGCAAATAGCGATCAACATTTTCCAATTCGTGAATTTCTCTTTCCGCTGCAAATCACTATGTGACATCTTGAGTCACAAGCAATTTATTGGATGTACCTCACGTGCCCCCGCCACGTTCGCATGGGTATTAAAAATTTAAACTACACCACCCGAAAGCAATTTTCGCTGGGAAATTTCCTTTAGGCACACATCAATTCATCGCTGATGCGAATGTTGTCACACGTGCAGTCAACAACCTCCAGGAGCGACTTTTTTGCATATTTATGGAATTTTGTGTTGTGTGTCAAGTAGTGTTTGTCAATTGCCTTCACGGTGGTTTATGCTGTGGATGTCGATAAAATTGAATTTATTGATGTATTTTGCTCTGGCTGGTCTAATTTAATTGGCAATATTCCAGTTTTTCTGAGGATAAGAATCGCAAACGTAGTTCCAAAATATTCAACCATCGAATCTTTCTAATGTGATACGATAGCAGTGGCGTAGCCGTGTGCCCTCCCTTACGCCAGTGAGCCATTTTCTCTGCGAAATAAAATGTGCGGTTGCAATATTCTGCCTTTAATGTGGGTGAAGATATGAAAATTTTGCTGAAATTCATTCCGAAAATGGGCGCCTCGCTTTGGGAATGCTCGGGGAGACCTTTTTGGTCCAATATCCGGCTTCCGGATCGCTATTCACATGCAGAATCAAAACGCCACGGATTTTGAATGGCATGGAATAGTGAATCCTTCCATAGCCAACTTCCGCTCTACATTTTCACACAGGCAAAACCACACAAGCCACGGCTTAATGTGGTTAACATACGAATCCTCTCAGCAGAAAACATACATGCGGTACAATATTGGAGAATTAATGGTGAAAAGTATTTTCAATTGTGTAACATGGGGAATATGTGTATATTTTTGCCGTCTCCTTTCGCTCTTTCACACTTGAGACTGCAGAGGAGCTGGGCCTGATCGATACGACCTGAATTTATTCACAAAACTCCTACACACTTTCATACGCAGTCAGCATCAGCGGAGGACCCAAACTTTCATCCTCGTCTATAATATCTAGCGTTGGGCTTACCAAATAAAGCAGAAAATTTATCGTTTCTGGCTATTTGAGAGCTCTTCCTTCTTGCCATGATGTGTGAAAATACGTCGTTTAGTTCAAAGAATGTCGAAGGCTCATGAGGGCGAAAAAGGGATTTGTCGCGATTCCACTTCCATTCCCAGAGATAAGCACAATTTTCCCATCGCTTCTCTCTCTTTCTCACTCTCTCTCCAAACTAGGAAACGGAAAACACCCATATTTTTGGCTAAGAGACCCCCTGATTGATCGTTTAGTAGAGAGACTGTGATTCTGGGAACTGCCAAGCATCATATTTCTGAACTGCGGGAAAACCTCAGAAATTTACTAATTAATCATGGGGAGTGGGAGGAAAATGAATCAACAAAGTGGATAATGATGTTCATTCCCGAGGTACACTGAATAATTTATTTTAACTTGTGCCACTTGCCTATAGTGGGAGTTGAGAGGGCTTGATTGTAGATACTGATCCATAATTTGCTTCCTATCAATCATGAATTCAGTTCTATTTTCAGATTTGCCCATATTAATTTTAATGGCTGCACACAATTTCAATTAATTTCTCTCTCCCAACTAGGAGATTAATTTAGACAGACACACCCATAAAGTTTTAAGAAAATTAGGGCCCAAATTAGCTGCGTATATTTTCAATTATATTTTAATTTTCCCACACTTTGCACAATTTTTACCGAAAAACAACTTTGCGCTGTTCCCACTCAAAGAGGGGGAGACGCTATAATTTGTTCCGAAATACAATCCCCTTCATCGATGGAGCTTTTGTACTCGGCGCCCTTTTATCGATACGCCGGGACACTCGCAGAAATTAGTGTGATAGAATGGCGCACATAATGAGCCGCGATGGGCAGCGATTGTGAAAGGTCGGAGGTTTTATTTTGCAGCTCTCTGACCTGAGCTTGAGGGTGGAAAATGTATTCATACATCCTTAAAGAGGATAAGATAGAACGAATGGTGGAATTTGTTATTTATGCTCAAGTGAAATTGCGGAGATGATGGAGACGTGAAGGGTCAAATGGGTGGAAATGTGAGGGTACATGGAGGCCTCCTTTCAGCCAGAATGTTCATCTTTGTTGGGTGCAAAAAAAAACACACAGGAAGTGAGATGCGAAAGGGGAATAAAAAGTATGAGAAATGTGTTGTTCTACACGTTTAATAAAGCTCCCCGGCATTCACAAGCTATTCCTGATGTCATGAATATTTATTTTTCGCAAAATGGAGCTTTTTATTCTTAAGCTCTCCGGGACGGACCTGTGGGGGTGAAATATTGCGGATGAGTGAATTTAAATGACAAAGCATTTTGGGCGTCGGTTTAGGGTATTTGAGGCCAATTTGAGGAGATTCCCTCCATAGACAGGGAGGCCAGCCTTTCGCGCGCTCAACACTCCTTTGGGCTGTGGTTTAATTAAAAAAAAGCACTGACCCAAGACATTTTGCGCAATTTCCTCCTCGTCAGGAATGCGCTCCTGTGTGAAAAGAATTATGTAATGAAAATTTTGACGTTGTGAGTACTTAAGGCATGACAGAACACTCATTACAGCCCTGAATTCGGGGGTGGCAGAAAGTCAGGGGCAATAAATCAATTAACACTGAGTGGATGGAGAGACGTGGCGGCGATTTATGGATAACACTACAATATCATTCAGCCGATGCTTGTGGCAGTGACAGTTGGACATTCACTGGTTAAGCTTTAAGTACACAAACGGAGTCATCCACTTGCAAGAAAGCACCAGAGCTGATGGCTAGTGCGGTGTGTGTGTGTGATCATAAAATAGATGTTATGTGGCGAGAATGTTCGACTTGGGGACCATAAATTAAAGTAAATTGTTATGAATTGTGAAGGTGACAACATATTAATTAAGCAGTGGAAAGCCATTCTCACCCCTCGCAATCAAGATGAATTTGCCACTGAGATTCCTGGACTATTAAAGCCGAGATTCCATCCATTAACGCTCCATCATCTTTAAGTATTGCCATGCAATGTTCGCCTGTGTGCCAAGAAATTGTCAATCGTTGGGACAACTTTCAAGCACATCGCTTGTGTATATTTCGTATACTCAAGAACATGAAAGCACTCGCAATTTCCGCAATGCTGGGGAGAAACGCGCCGAGAGAACGTGAAGGAGGATGAGGAGATGTAATTAAGTTGTGTCGTGGTTATCATTTTCATGCAGAGAAAGTCACTTTTGAATCGCTTCACAAACACATATTACCATTTTCATGAAAATTCACCTCGTCACTCTGCACTGTACATTTATAAACTCAAAGTATATTACTCGCAACACAATTAAAAACTTACCCCGCCAGACTCAAATCACTCCCTACTCAATTATTCACACATTTCCCATTATATACTATGATGCTTTCACTGCTGCACAGTTTACGAGGAATTTATAGTAAAAAATGCATTTCATCACTGTCAAGAGGATTTCAATTTTCTGTTTAAATGCTAATTTATTGAAATTTGCAGCGTCTATTGTAAATTTTAAATACACAACATGAAAACCAACTCGGAAATAAAATCACATCAACATTTTCAAAATTAATTATGGAGTTTTATTTTGAGAATTAAAATCATTAAAGTCAGCACTCAAAACTGCAATCAATCTGGATAGAATTAAACAATAAGCAAAATTATACCAAAACAACCACACATTATTCCACAACTTATATTTCGGCATAAACATTGGCTTGGGCAATTGACAGAGCAGTGAATTCGTATGTAAATATCAGAAATAAAGATAAATAGAGTCACAAATGGAAAAGTATGCGATTCAATAAATTTTCCTTAAGATAGTGTGAAACTCAAAATACAGGATGTGATAAGGATTGATCTTGTGATTGATTAACTTACTTTTTCAGTGTGCCGAAAGTTGTGTAGTATTCATCGCGAAATTCATCGTCGTGAGAGGGTTAACATGCTTGATAAGGCATACAAAATAATTCCAATGGACTTTCGCAAATACAATTGATGAGGAAATCTAAAGTAGATTTTCAAGTCCACATAAAATCACTGCCGAATGCTTTAAAATGGGATGAAAGCGACTGAGCTTTTCTTTCAATTTTCCATGGGAAACACTTTGGCTCAGCAACTGCCTAGGCAAATGACCTGAACGACCTTCCAAATGAACCCGGAATGCCTAAAATCCTGTGATCGTTGAAGCGTGATTCGCATAAATTCGGCAAATTTCCAGCCTAATTCAAATTGTATTAAGCGATCCGACGAAGGCATCCCAGCGTGTGGATGTTTTCACATGGCTCCGTACACAAAATTTCTAATCAATTTGTCCTCCATCTGTCGCCGCAGTGAAGATGATAAATTGAACCTCGCGCGCGCGTCTCGGTGGGTGAAATTCTCATGGATTTTGCAATCACGGTGTGGCGATGGCTCAGGAGAAGAAAGGAATCTTCAAAGAAAATTATCCAATTTTCCATTATCCACTTTTGGAGGGGTGAGTCAAGTCCAAACAATATGATTTATTGAATTGGACAAACCCACACCCCTTCGCACACCCATACTAAGTGACTGAGCGGATTTTTTCTGTCGGGAATGCAGAGCTATTCTAGCGAGGAATCAAATCACAAAAGTTATTCTTCCAATTTCCCACGTGGAAATCTCTTCGGTAGTCCTCTTGCTTATCCACCCGCTACGGTTAAATAGAAAAACTTTCATTCTGCAGAACATTTCGAGCTCTCTCACCCCAACTCTTGGTATCCTGTTGTTTTTTGCCATTTCGAGAAGGTGGAAAGGCAAGGGAGTTCGGGAAGTTTATTAATTGAGCTGTACGTGAGCCTAATCAAAATCACACCCACTAAATATTTCGGACTTAATTCATTCTCTCATTCAATTTCCGTTCAAGTTAAACGGATACACAAGCCAGTGAAAAGTGTCTAGGAAGAGAAACGCGCCGCTGGCAAGTGTATAAATCACAATGAAATGCGCTCGGTTGGCCTGGAGAAGTTCGCCGCAAAATAATAACATGGAGTTACATTAATTAATATGAGTCTTCTATATTTTGTCTATCATTTTATCATTATGAATTTATCTCTGTGGAATTCACTGTACATTTCGGTTGGGAGGAAAGTTCAAACTTTATTACAACAATAAGTTGTTCTAAATTAGTTTTATCTTATGTCTCGAGACATATTCAACACATTTATGCAAATTTATCATTTAATAAATTCTTAATTGTATATAACCTCCTAAAACTTTAAAACACCCTCTTACTCACTCGTCATGTCAAATACAACAATTATGAAAGAAGATTCTCTCTGTGACTTTATCAACTATTCTCAAGTTAGAATTTATTTAATACTCAAAGTATGAGATGCGGAGTGATGATCCAGCGAATATTTTTCCCCTTGTTCTTTATTCTTTATGTTTCCAAATGAAGAGCAAAGTGAACAACTTTGGCTTGTAAATCTGTAAATGTGACCTGCCAGTTTGTTTCCCAAGCAGAAAAAGCTGACATAAACTGTTTCTCACACTCCCAAAGCTTCGCTAAAGCTCGACAATGTTTTGTTGGTTTCAACCCATTCGCAGCGGAGGTGGCTTTTGCCAAATGGAAATTCACCTTCCATGTCAGTAAACACTGTGTTCAGACTTTTTCAACTATTTGTGTGATAATAAAATACAATCGGCAATAAAAAGTTCACCAGAATCTTGATGTTAAGTGTAGCTTTAGTGATTTTGTAAAACAAAACAGCCATTTGCTCACTTGAATGGGTTGAAAAAAACTATTTTTGAAAAACATACCTAAAATTATTTGTTGGAAAGATAAATTGTCTATAAATTCTTTTGATTTAACTGTGACTTTCAATTTTTTGGTTTGCTTTTTTTGATTTTATTGTCCTCTATATTTTTGAAATTCAGACATAAACGCAAATCTTTTCTATAGCTATTCTGTGTTTTTTTTTCAGTGTGCTTTTTTGTACTTGAGTAAGATTTTAACTGACATAATTCTATTTCAATTAGAATTAAATATTGTTTGTTATCTAAACGTACATTGTCTAATTTTTCTCTGTTCGAAAAAAACATTTTTCTTGCTATTTTAGTAGCATAAATTTCCTATTCACTTCTTGGTTGAAGTGCTTAGTATTTTGTATCATCTCCGAAGTGAACAGAATTACTCGATGATGGTGATAAAATTAATGTTTATTGACATTTTATCACCCATTCTGATAAATGAAAAGACCATTTGATGACAACTCTGCGGGTGAAATTATTCTGATTGTTATCTCTTTTCTTCCTCTTTAGCATTCACACACACAGAACATGAAGAAGAATAACACGATCCTTAAGGGATAGTCATTTCATTATGTAAAATGACAACCAGCTTATTTTCTATGTTTATGTACAGGGAAATGTCGTTCTCACCCTTTTTTGTCCCATAAATCTGGCTTTTCCTCTATTGAGACAACTTTTTCCTCTTGCATTCCCGATGGTCATTCACATTCAATACATTCTCCATATATAATCGGGAAATAAAGCTTGGAGTTACCCCAAAAAAATCGTTTCTAATCCATTCTCGTGGAAGAACTTAAACATCAACACATACAAGAAGGATACTTCATCCCTTTTCCGTGATGTGGTCACAATAAAAAAAGGTTTATGAGCAATATTACTTGTTCAATTTGTTTGAGCTGAAAATACTATTGATGTTGGCGCTTTTATACGTAAATCGGGATTCGAATATCGAATGTCTTACTTGGGGAGTTGCTGGTTGTGGAGCTGGAAGCCATTGAGCAGTTCTGGCCACTTCGGAGTCCATGTCAAACACGTTCGCTGCTGTTCAGCTGTCCACTTGTTGTGTGCGATGGGGCCGCCGGGTAGCTGAAAGCAAACAAGCATTCGCATTACTTTCCCTCCGCAAATGGAAGCCTATTTCTGTACTTAATGGGGAAACTCCACGAATATATGGCACTTGTGAGATTGCAGAGAATTATAAGAGGCAGACAATTTATCACAATCAAGACAAATGTCAAATTATTCAAAATATGCAATATTAAAATCCACTTTCCTCTCAGTATCGATCACAATTCTTGTATCACATTTTTGTTTTTGTTTATTTCCAATTATTCAATTCACGAAAGAACTGTTGAAAGAGTTTTTTGCCTAAAGCTGTATTCTTGTGTGTTTTACTCGTTGAAAAATTTATCTGAACAATTTTCCATTTTTTTCATGTTTTTCTTCCACCAAACTTTACAATTCTCAACAATGCATATAAAATGAGATCAGAGAAGTTACCTTATTACGCATGAGCCGAATTAATATACTAAATACATTATTTTTCAAAGAAAAATCAAAATAATAATCACAATGTTAGCATAGAGTGACATTCTTGTTTATTTCATGCATTAGAGACAAATTTGTTATTGCATCTGTGATTTCTGAACATTCTTAGATAGCAATGCATGATTTCTGAATGTTAATTTGCCTTTGCATCAACACAAAACTTTCTAATCACTTATCACTAACTAACTTCCAAGCATAAACTTATATTCAATTACGACTTTTCGTCTCAATGCCGAGCAAGATCCGAAAGCTGCGGATGAAGTTCATTTATTATTGTTTAGCCTGAGCTCTTTGGCTCTTTATAATCCAATTAGTGCGTCCCTTGTGGGTACACCGCTCTGTTATCAGTCTGTAGTCAGTATCAATAAAATATTCAACGGAATATGCCTTTATCCTCTCACGTGGTTCGATATCAGGGGCCAGAGCTCCGAAATATGGTAATAAATGGACCAGAGAGCACACACTCACCCAATTGAATTGGTCCCCACGCTGTTTGACCCACTGTGTCCATCATCACTAATTGTGGCGTTATTGACTTGCGAAGTCATTTGCTTAATAGATTGACTCTGGCTGCTGGATGCCTTGCACAGAGGGCTCTGCAGGCTGGAGGTGAGCGTGAAGTAGCCGCCGGGCTTGGGTTTCAGGTGACGATTATTCATCTCCATGTTGACGATCTTCATGAACTCAATCTGGGCTGCCAGCTTCTGGACCTCCTCCTGCCAATTATGCATGGGTTAAACGATTTTGTCAATTTGAGGGCGAGTTCGCAGTCCTCACCTTGAGCTCCTCGTTCTCCTGGTACAAGTCGGGTGTGTCCTCTGGCACCAGGCCGATGCCGTTGAGGGAGAAGGAGGCCGTGACGCCACGGACACGTGCCTTATTGTCCCACTGATCCCCCTGCCCGCGCAGCACCCGCACAACTTTGGGTCCGAACACCAGGGCCACGGTGACCGACGTCGACAGCTGGGTGCGTATGAATCCCAGCAGATACTTTATATCCGGTCCCGCTTGGGGAAATATGAACAGGCTGTAAACACATACAATTTGCGCATTATTGAGAATTTGAGTTGTCTCAAGATTGGAATTTATATCTCCAGAGTGTTGTGGAATTTTCCCATTTATCTTCCCCCAAATATGCCTCATGGAATCCAGACCATCAAGAGGATGGCGCATTCCGCCGTGAGCGTTTATTTCCACTCTCCAAATTGAATTGCGCGAATTAGAGACGTTAAATTACTCGTAATCAGATGAACTCCGGGATTGATTTTAGAAGTCAATCGAGTGGCAGCTGGGGGAAATTCAGGTAGTCAAGGAGAAGCTTTCGCAGACTCCGAATTAAATTGTCAATTTTTCTTAACTTTCCACTCGAAATGCTCCCCCCCCCAGCGTGCGAGAAGTGAAATTTTCATGGCGAAAACTGATAAGAACAACTACAATTATACTGTGGATATTTGCATGTCTGAAACTTTGTTCAGCACAATCAAGGAGTGTTCGCAAGAGGATGTGCACTGTAATTGCGGTGTAGGGACAGTTGGACTTGAAAGGGAAGATTGAAATCCACTTTCATCACGTAATCAAATGATAAAGAAAAGTTTATCCCAAAGTTTCTGCCCCATGAGAAAACCCATTTAAAATTTCCTCGAGACGTACAACAAAGGGGATCCACTGTTAATTACATGGAAGAGTCTTGGGGAGAAAAAGTGCTTGAAGACTCAACTCACTGGAAAGCCACCATTGTGGTGTTGACGAGAGCGATGTTGTAGATGGCATAGGAGATGAGTCTGGCCTCGTTGTACATGGACTCAGCGTGGCGTACGTTGTAGCACACCCGGATTCCCCAGGCGAGGAACAGCACTTCCCCAATGGCGAGGCTGTGGTCCCACCAGTTGTAGGAGCACTGCTTGAACTTCAGACCGTACTTGTCGGTGATCTCCTCGGCAATGGGCGGAGCGGACAGAGTCCAAGTGCCCAGATAGATGAGCATCACCAGCAAGATGGGCACCATCCACTGCAGCAGCTGCTTGTCCGTTAGCTTCACCTTGTGGGCAGACTTCACGCGGTATGTGAGCGAGACTCTCCACGTTTTCATCAGGAGAGATGTGTAGGTGATGCAGAAGCCCATGTGCCGTGTCCACTTCGTGGCGATGCAGCTGCAGGTGTCCAGAATGGGGAAGATTGCCGCCATCTCGAGGTACATGAAGGAACACCCGAGGAGGGTGATGGTCAGGAAGATGGGACTCGCCACCTTGAAGACCTACGAAAAAGTTAAATGCGGGAGATTGCGAATACAAAGCGCACAATTAAATGATTACCTTGACTTTCCTATGGCGGTACATGTAAAAGGCGAGAGAGATGGTGAAGACGGCGCACAGCACGGAAACCGTGAGCAATGTAATGCGGAAGACCCAGTTGTACGTGGCCAGGCATGGGGCGGGACCCATACAATTGCCACAGCCGTCGGCACACTTGAGACATTGAAATTTATCCATATAAATAGTGCTCTCATTGTTCCAGAACTCCTGATATGCCACCTCCATGACGGAGCCATTGAATCCAAGCGGATGGCGGGATGAGTAGAAGCCCGGCCTGCAGAGACACTGGTAATCCCCACGACGCCATCCTTCTCCATTGCCATGGACGCCCTTTGACCTTCCGCCCGCATAAAATCGATGATCACACTGCAGAGAGGAGAGGACGTGTCTTGAGAATACACTCGCAATATTAATCCAATTACACGACATCCAAGAGATTGCAAATTTGATTTTTGCCCCAGATTTCTCGCCAAGAATCATCTGGGCTTCGGAAATCGATTACGGATTTCCCGGCTTAATTGCCATCACGGACAATTTAGAAGCCATGAATGAATTTTATGTTTTGAAATTCGAAGAGTGGGAATTTCATTACCTGAACAAGCCATAACACAAACACTCTTTCAAACCTTATTAAAAGTTATACAATCTCGATGGGTTGTGGATACATTAGTTGTCTCGAATCGCAGGTGAGGGAGCGAAGGTTTGTTTAGCATCAAATTAAAACACAGTCATTATTGTTCAACAGATGAAGTGTAATTTAATTTCTGTGTGAGAAAACTTTTAGTGAATTTTACTATAAACTATGAGTCAATTTATTACCAGCAGTGTTCCTGCTACAAAAATAAACAGTGGAAACACGGCAATACCGGAGTATCATAGTTTGAATTGAGTAGAAATTGTGCAAAGTTGCTGCGCTAACTTTTAAACACACATTGAGTTCTATATAGAAGGATTCACCCCCATCAAACACAATTTAGTGTCGTACCAGAATTCGACAAAGGAAAAATGATTAGAAGCTCCACCCATTGATATGCTCCGCCCATTATTTTTAGAAAAGTTGTAGTAATTGGTGAGATTTACCTCCATTGACACTGGATGGCACTTGTGTGAGCCCAGCAATGCATCGATTTCCAGTGAGTTCTCCACATCGTCGGGCTGAGAATTGCACTGATTCACGTGCAGTTCCGACACATCGACGTCAACACTGAGAAATCCCCGAATCCCGTGGCGGCTAGTCGGTGGAATGGCGACGCTGTACGACAGAGTCCATCGCCGGTGACTGCATAGGTAGTACGGATAGGTCCACCAGCCCTTGAAGGAGATGCTGATGGGACTCGGTGAGAACTTGGGCGACCGTAGTCCTGGCGATGACATTTCATCCTCGAACCTGCGGAGACGTCGTGATACTCAAACTTGTTGATATTTTTTCTCGCCGATATGGGGTGAGTCACGTGCGACATTGAGCTTGTATCGTGCCGAAGGAGGCACGCTCGTCTTGGTGACAAAATTAAGTGGGGCACGAACACAATTTCAAATTGAATAAGCCAATTTGGTGCGTCTAATCCTTCAGTGAGCACCCCAACGCAAGGATTCTCCAAATTGTGACTTACCATGGATAATTCATATCTGGCTTCAAGCCCACACTCACGCCGTCCTCCTCCACCCGATGCGGTCCGCCGAGGCCGCCCAACTGCTGGCTCCACCACACGGCAGTGATGATTGCTCCATTTGTGATGTTGAGCGCCAAAATGCGCGCCGCCGTCACGTGAGTGTCGCCCAGAAGGCCCTTCGCGATGGCATCCAGAAGTCCTGGGAAGAAATCCCATGTAGTGAAATCTATCATGCCAAAATTGAATCAAAATGTGACCCAAATACATAAGCACAACCCCGAGAAGAAAGCATCTCGGAAAAATTTAATAAAAACTGAATTCTGCGAAATACTTTCTCGGCATAAACTTTTCCGCAAATTCCTTAAAACTCTGCGCAAAATTTCTATCGCCTTTCAACCGAGTTTTCTCTAAAGTGAAAACTTTCCGCGATGTTTGAAATTAACATACATCTCAAATGCTTCCTATCAGTCTTTTCACGTTGGAATTATTACACTTTTCCCCTCATTCCACCGTGTGTCCGGGAATCACGAAGACATTGAAAGTCATATTAGTGTCAGTCGAAGACGGAGCACAAAAGGAGTCTTGATGTACTTTTTTAATAGATTTTCCTCTGCTATGTTCTTTCAATTGTCTGAAAGGCAGTTCATTTGACTCCTTTTCTTCCCTTCTCTATGTTGGCGGCGGAAAAGACGAGAGACATTCTTGTGCGAGAGAAAAAAAAGGCAACATCAAATGTATTTTTATGTTCTCTAAATTCCCCTGTTTTTGCTCAAACCCGTACCTCGATGGCGAGGCCGGCAGAAAATGGCAGCAAAGAGACAGACAAGGAGGAAAAACGAGATGTGGCGGAATCTTATTAAATTGATGGAAGGATGTGGATGTCCAAGGAGAGCACAAAAAAGATCACGCGCGCTGAGCTCTTCTGGCGGAGCTTTGGAGGAGAGAGTGGGTGAAAATGGGCAGAAAAACATGAAGATATATGGTTCGATGCTCCAAAAATTACATTCACGCAAGTTATTTTCTACCCTCCACTATATATCCTGTCGATTGGCTAGGAAATATTTCAAATGGTTCCCATTCATGGCCTCTCCATCCATTCTGTCAAACCAGTAAAAGTTGCACAACTTTACCTTTAGACAAAAGGGAGAAAGTCGTGCCTTCTTGACCTAGTGAAATTTCACAAACTGCGAGACCCTTGAGACCACATATGAAAGACTGACATTACCTTTTTGGGAGTTCTTGGGATGATATAAAATTTGATAAATTTCCCCAAATCATCCGCCTTTTGCCAGAACCCAATTTTGCTGGCACTGGAAGATCTCAAAATATTTCGCTGACAATGTCGACCTTCTTCGCTAACACACTTTTCGCACGTTCCACACCAAAGTCTGCCATCATTGACTGAGTCGCATGCTTGCTAGAAGTGCCATAATGCTGATGATTTATTGGCTTTAGACAATAGTTGCGAAAGCTGTATTTCTGTCACATTTTTTAATAAAGTAAATGTTAGAATTTTTCCGCCTGTGTCAACCCGTCTTAGAAAAGCACAAACGCTGAAATACCAAAGAGAGCAATAAAGTGGCCTTATATGGAATACGCGTAATATTTATCTTCTGAGAAATGGCAGAATATGAGGGAGAAACAGGGTGAAATCACCCATACTTCCAGTTATTTTCGTTATTAACCAAAAATGAGGGAAAAAGGGAAAGCTCAGATGGAACTTTACCACTGGGAGTCGCAGAGAGTATAATTTACAAGCCTGTCTTTGTGCCTTCTTCCCATTTAGCGGTCACGTCCCTCGCCCTATTTACAGATTACAGAACAAATGTACATACAATGAGCTCCTTGACTCCGGACAATATCACCATTAATTATCAAAATTATGAACAAAAGCAAATCCCTGTTATAAAAGGGGAAAAAAAAGCAAGAACACCCCATAAAAAATATGCATTAAGTTGCGACGAAGTGTGCTTGCCGGTATTTTCAAGTATTCAGAAAAACACACAAAATTATGCTCTTTAGCGCCAGGTTTAATGCCTTGAAGCCACGCTACGCCACTGAATGTCGCTTGGAAAAGTCTGGCTGCCCTTGAGAACCGACTTTTTCACGTCTGCCCGAACTTTTCAGTTTATCACACCCCAATGTCCATTTGGAATAACATTTTTGATATAGTCCTCGGCTCTCTGATTATTCATAAACTTTTACCACGGAATGGCGAGAGCTTCATCCCAACCGAAAGCTTCTCGAGCTTCTCGGGATGTATATTTTCACCGCCGCCCCAGCCCGAAGGTTATCTGGCCTATTTGGTATTACTTTTCCTCCACTTATTTTATTGTCCGCAGAGATTGGTGAAGTTTCTCTCCTTGGCTTTCAATCAATACAGCTCTCGAGGGGGTGAAACATAGATTTGATGAAGAAAGTGCGTCCCGGAAATCTTCCACTCAATTACTGAATAATCATTGAGAGAATGAGTATTGCGAAAAAATCCAACATTTCCATTTGGAAGCACTTGAAGGAGCGTATTTAAGACGAACCAAATTACTCTTCAGCCAAAGTTTCACGGTTCTGCGAGACCCTTTAAGAAGAGGGTTATTTTCTTTTAATAATAATTTTGATAAATGTAATGATTTGTATATTCATCGCTCAAAACTTCCAACAAAGAAGCGCTTATCAGGGGAAAGTACTGATGAAAACTGTGAATGTATAAGAAAAAAAAGCACACTCGGTGGAAATGGAAAAATGACTTGCAACACCTCGAGGCGAAATTCGGCAAAGAGGAACTCGAGGAGAGGCCGGAGAAATTGCTGGTTTAATTGTGGAAACTCAAACAGGTGTTTTTCCCAACTTGACGAGCTCTTCTATTCTCCCTTGAGATACAAATTCTCAAGAGTCTCAACGCTGGAATTGCCATCTCATTTGAATTTTTAATTTTATTTCAAATTGAAATAGACTTCTGTACCATTTCACCATCGGATGCTGCGCTCGATGTTGGGAAGAGAAAAGTCTCCTGGGATAAGCAAAAAATGAGAAGAAAAAATTCTCATCATTTACATTTAATTCTATTGTCATCTCTTGTCGCTTTTGCGCCTTCTTTCACCTCCTGGTGACGTGCCTCAGACAGGTATCGAAGACGGGAATCTGTAGTCAATAAAATCAGCAGCAAGAACTCAATTTTGCACAAATACTGCACGTGGGTGAAGAGAAAAGGTGACAGTGACAATTTACCGAGGGCGAATCCAATTTTCCCTCATAATAATTCATATGACAACCAAGAATGAGAGCATTTGGGGGCTTTTTTGTCCCACATCAAGACTTTATGAGCTTACGAGACGCAAGAGAGTCTGTGGCACGTGAAAATCTGCAGATTTGATACAGGTGGAGAGGAGATTCACCACTAAACACACATCTTCTTCTCAGGAAGAAAAAGGTGGATCTGCCGGCGAGATGTGTAAATTATTGAGCGATACACGAACCAGGAAAGAGATATTTTTGGCAAACGGTTGAAATATGATGATAATGTTTGTAGGTGTGTGGAAAACCTTCAAATATTTCATCAAAAACTCCTCAGGCTGAGGAATAAATACACCTTTTTCTGACAGTTGATGCTCAATCAACCAAAGTTGAAGGATGGATGAAGAAACAAAGGCTTATATCGTGACATACTTTTACGCAATCTTGCGAATTTGTCTCCTGCTTTCCTAGAACACTATTAAAATACCATAAAAATCTCGAGAACCCAACATATCTTCGTGTACAGCGGTACATTTTTCCCACATTTCTCGCAAAATGCTTATGAAATACTTATTATTATTCTTTAAGAGAAAGAAGATAAGCAGATGAGAAAATTATGCTAGACCGATGAGAATGCTTTAGGGGGGAAGAATGTGAAAATCTTTTTCCTGAAAAACAATATCTCAGAAGCTCTTAATTCCCCATCTTTTGCACGGTAATATTGAGGTACACACCGGAATATTTTTTTCGATTAAATCCGCCACTGTGTTATCTTATCTACCAACTGCTCTCCCTCCCATTATGCCTACCAAACCAGACAGTGAAAGGTGCCTCGCGATTAAATTTGCATTAAATTTTGTCACTTCATCCTTGTGTGCCGTGTTTTTGGAAGACACGACACAATAATTGAAGTGAAAAATGCCAGAAAAGCAGTGGGAAATTCATGAGAAATCTCAGGCTAAATTATGAACGAGGCAGCTTTCTGTGACTTCTTGTAGCATCAAATCAAATTAAACCGATAGATATAATGGATATGTATCTTGAGGCAGTCAGAATGCCCCTCCAATGCCTCCTTCAATTTTCTTTTGAATTTTATTAAAGCAGATATGCCAGATGTCGAAACGCAAGAATTGCGTATTTTTTAGTGAATTCAATATTTTACAAAGAACAAGAGGAAGCACAAAAATTGTAGTAAATAACCAAAGTTCAGCGAGTTCAGGCTATTAATAAATGAGATAAGCTTCACGAGTCATAAAATATTATTTCCAAGATTATTTCACGTCTGCGTGAAATTAGTTTCCGATACGCCACGCACTGATTCCCAACGAATCTTTTCACGAAAGAAGCATTTCTTCAGGGATTTGCGGCCTTCACCTCGGTTGAGGCCTTGTCAGGACTCTACATCACTTTTAGCTCAATTGTTCATGAAATTGCTCGGCGATGGTGTGGCATTTCGTGACAAGGCAACCGGAGTAAGAAAGCTCTTGAAATGGCACAAATTGCACTCACCTCCATGTCGATTAACCCCCACATCTTGCAGCACAGTGGCGGCCAAGTCAGCCTTCTGGCGTGCTCCCTCGTAGCGTTCGACACGCAGAGGAATCCTCAGTGGGCGGAATGCCCTCGAGAGGCAATACTTTCCCAGATTCTCTGTGGCGATGTCGTGTATCGTCTGCAGGGACTCCTCGATGGCATCCTGCAAGGGCTGGAGTGAGCAGAAAAATCGATCTCAAACACGTGACACACCCCACAAACCTTGCCAATGTCGACAGGAGTGCTGAATGTTGCGAGAATGCCATTTGGACCGGAAGTAGCCCAGCAATGTCCGATGAATATTGACAGACGAAGGATGAGGCCACACCAGAGCCACAGTGGATGTTCTCGCATTTCGCACAAGTCATGGACCTTCCTGAAACAAAGAGGAACTCGCCTGAAAACCCACTGATAAGGACACGTCCACAGCTTATTCAAACACCCACTGATGGTTCTGTACACTGTTTTTTTTTTGTCCAGGGGGCGCATATTCAAATGAGAATGAATCGGTGAAAAGCAAGGATGGAAAGTGGAAAAAATTGACAAAGGACAGGAAAAAAGATGGGTATTTTGCATTTCAAAAGGTGAGAAATGTCTGTTGAAAGTTTACACAGAACATTCTCAAACAATTCTGGAAAAAAAGAAGAAATTGAGAGAACATTATACTAAAAATCTTCTGCTTGATTTTATGATTCCCATAAAAACAACATATAGGCTCTACCTTGACTCTAGGCTAAAGCTCTCCCAAATTCCATTACAATTTATGATGAAAGTACGTGAAAGCTCGGCGGAGAAGCTTTCAGAGACAGACTCACGCCTTGATTGTGTCAGTTCATTGAATTTAAATTAAAAACCACCTTCACCACCCACACTGTCGACGCACCAAATTACATTTCCCCGCCAATTCAGGGCTGATGAGACCCTGAGGGTTTGGGTGGGGAATCAAGATCGCATTTTCTTCGTCAGCACGTAGGCTAGATTATGATGTAATGTCAGCAGCATTGGGGAAAAAACAGCGAATAATATAATTATTGGCATAGAGCAGTAAAAGGGAGAAAATCAATATGCTGGGCGTTCTAGTTGTGTACATATATTTATGTGGTAAAGAATTTAAGATGGCATAAAGAGTAATAAATTGTGAAAATATTGTCCCACAGTGTATAGCTAATAATCTCAAATTCCCATTCACATTATATGGTTGGGTTGGAATAAAGTTGGTGATATGGGACCAATTGCTCATCATTTCATGGCTTTTGTGCCAGATTTTGGCACTTTGCCCGGGAATATATGCAAAACAAAGCCGGAGTTTGCTAGTGTCGAGTCTGCATTCACCCATAGGCATCTGAATCAACATGTCACTCAAGATTCCACTCGCAGATAACAGATACTCAAAGGAACTTTTCCGCTACCAATTATCTCCCTAATTATGCTCTTAGGGATCCCTGCCAAACGGCTCTTATATATCTTTATTAATGTGACGCGCTTCAACCAAGATCTGAATCTGAGAAATCAATTGAAATTTGCAACAACTTCAGCTCAATATGATTAATATATTTTTACTTATTTTTCCTGTTTTGTGAATCTAATAATAAGAAGAGTTCGTAACGATTTTAGAGTTAGCGACGTGACATTTTCTAAGAAATTTTAGGTAAAAGCTGTCACTCTGCGACTTTGACAAATTTCATGCAGCCAAAAATGCGAGATGTGGGATACACTTTGGATTCTTAGAATATGTAAATGGTGGGATAATGTAAATCTTTTATGGTAATCTATTGCCTCTGTCAGTTTCTGCATGTCGTGTGAATGGCAGCAAGTTTCTCACATGGCATGATTTTAATAATGGCACAATCAGTGCTTCATTCTTTCAGAATCATGGCAAAAAGTGAGGCTCTGACTATAAGCATAGACTTCGTGGCCCCTCCTCAAGGCGACAGATCAACGAATCAAACTCAATTTCCGGTCTGTGTGCTTGCGAGGAGCGATTCAGTCGCCTAAAATAATCTTCAAGTGGATTTGTGAGTGGAATGGGGGAGAAATGATTTTTCCAGTATCTCCCTTTTCCGGGGGTCGACAGTGTCTTCTATATACAGGGGTGTAATATGTCAATGTTGTGTAAAAATTAAATGGCCTGGAATCAATTTTGCAAAGAAAATTGCCCAGAAACGAGAATCATTTAATGGTAAGTGAACAAGAAATGTATAATTCACAATATCTATGGCTTCTCTCGCACTCCGAACCGCATCCACCTGTTTCTCACCATTTGTCAATACACAAACTGACCAAGAGAACCGAAATCGTCTTGTAATTGACTCAATTAATTCCACTTTCACCTCCAGGCACGTACTGTGGATGTATGATATAGAATTACCTCGGAGATTAATAAAAGAAGGGCGTTTAAATTGGGCATAATTTCTCAATAACTTATTTCATGGATAGATTATGCAAATCAACGACTCCTGGGCCATGAATAAAAGCCATATAAAAAATCGATTCTCCTCCTTCACTTGCCCACGAGCTGAAAAAAAATCGATGCAGACCCTCGAGAAAACCAATAAGTGGCAGACTTCCTTCCAACGATTCCTCTCACGGACAGTATTTGTCATCTCCTCAACACGAGAACGGCACATAAAATACACATTGTCGCCACTGCGTTATAATTCATCTAATAAAACTCAGTCCTTCACTCTGGGCAGCAACCCCTTCCCTCCCTCATATCTCCAACGGTGCCCCGCGTGGCACAATTTAGCCTTGTTGCGTATAAAAACTCTTTTATACCTCTTAAATGTGGCCGTTGCAAGCTGTAAAAGTGCGTGTCCTCCTCGGGAGGAAATATACTGTATTTGTGGGTAAATGAGGCTGTTAAATTCAAAATTATTGGTTCAGGCCATCCTTGGCATCTTTAGGACTCAATCTAGGACATCATTCACAAGACCACGAATGGCACGTGCACAAAATCTGTGAAAAATCATTATTCACAAAGCACAAAATAGTGTTCTCCGTGCTCATTGTTGTATGTGTACACAATTAACAGCCCCATTATATTTCTCTGAAAAGGATACACAATTATGTGGGTGAGGAACTTAATATTCACATCCAGCTCCTCTTGTATTTCCCATTTTCTCACACTCGAAAATGTGTTGATTTTGCTCTGTGGAGAAATTTTACCCCAATTTATAGTATTTGGGTGTGTAATGAATTACCCAGTGCTTCATTAAATTGAAGTTACACTGCCGGCACACCAGCGTCTCCATGACACCCATTCATTTGTACCTGACCTTTTCCGAGGGATGGATTTCTCTGTTTCCACTAATCCGGAATTAACTAACAATTCAAGTGTGCGCCGGAGGAGCCAAAGATTTAGGCTCGTGCCAGGATCAACATTTTCTTGCCATGTCGCCACGGCAAATGTTCTCTGCCATGAATAACATTCAAATCCTCACCATTTCCGCTCCCAAAATCTTCCACCTTGAGTCCTCTCCCAACATCCCCACACCACGTCATGTCACTCGAGAGGGTGTTCGAGGCAGAAGCCAAGGGTTATTTGGATACATGAAAGTGCTTCAGAGGCTCTCCGACAGTGCGTGAAGACATTCAGTGGGCTGAAAACCTCAGCTGATAATGGACTTACATTTCAGATATAAGACATACATGGAATTCTAGGCCGTACAATTTCAATTTGGACAGAAAATCAGGGCACATTGCTGGTGAGAATATCAAGTGTGGACTGACACTCACCTGTAAATCCAATTTGGAGAGAAGCAACAGTCAGATTCTGAAAGTTTTATGAAAGCACCCTTCCTGCTAGTTTGTATTTTCGTCTAACTTTCTATTTACCCCAACACCCATGCCCCAATGAGTATCTTCACGCCCTGCGGGCGGAGTAGTTTGAGGAACAAGTCGTGTCTGATTGAGCGTTTTTCAGTCCTGGACATCGATAAATCGATTATCGTGGGAAATTAAACTTGAACTATCAAGAAGTTTCACAACATCTAAGGGAAGGTATTTCTTTTTGACAAGGATCTCTTGCAGGCTTTTGTGTTGTCACGTACACATACAGTACAGTGTGTTTAATCAGAGCATAGAGATCTTCCTTTTCTTAATCATAAAGACAATTTATGGCATGGTATTATCTGAAGTTGCAGAGAACTTAATTAGTTTCCTAACAAATATCAAACTATCTCTATTAACTGCAATAAAGCTGAATAAATCACGTTTTCCAACATGACAAAAACCCGATGCGGAAAGGCCCCACTTTACTCTATCGTTCATTTTCGATCAACCTTTGTATGTACAAATAATTAATTGTTGGCTCTAATGCTTCAGCCACATTCTGTACTCGTCAGTAAACATTTTTCCTGGTAATAAGATGTTGAAAGCGCGCTGTTGGGGGTGGAGAACAACTCAAGAATGTGCATTATTGAACGTCGCAATCGATTCGATGCTTCTCAATGCCAAGAAATTGCGCCTCAGCGTGATATTTGGCAACTTCGAGAGAGTGAATCAATTATTTCTTCTGAACGCTGTGCATCTCCGAGAGTGGATTGATCTTTTCCCAAGTCTTTTCCAGTTTGTTGATTGCGAGGCATGATTGATTGAAATGTCTGTTTACATAGGCGAGGGAATTCAATATTGTGTAAAACTTACAGTGCTGGTACGTTGGAAAATTCACAACAGAGTCATCCTGGGTAGTTCTCAGCGATGCTCGGTGCACTTTTAATCCATTAGCTATGGTGTGTTGTGTGTCCTCCGTAGTGCAGAGCTTTTATTGGATTTATGCTCCCCCCAGAACGGAGTTGGCACAGGAAGGTGATAAGAAAATACAATTCCACCTCTTTATCTTGAGAGTGTCTCACTTTTCCATCACTCTGTGCATTATTACCATTTTAATTTCCCCACCAACACGGGAAAGTGTGCAATTTGCGCTTTCTTTGCCACTCGCGCGGACGCTGAGGAAGTGGATGGTGCTCAAAAAAAGCACTAATTGTCCTTTTTACATCCTCCCTCAGCTGGTGTGTTTAGCCACTTTCCACTGTCGGCCACACAAACACTTGCATCAACACTGGATGTTGGATTTGAGAATTTTCCAATTAAATTAAACGACCGAGAATGGCTTCAGTTATTAAATTTTAATTAGAAAAAGTGTATCACGAAAGACACTCAGAGATGAAAGGCATATGAAAATGCCCCCGGAGAACGCCTACACGAGCACACTCACCCTCGCCAGATTTCGGGGGTACATTTTGTAGCACATTATCCTTCAGCGCACGAAGCCTCCCATATTTTTAACACAAGCCACCAATTCACCCTGGGCCCTTCACTTTTCACCCCCACCGGCGGGGCAAAAATGGGATTATAATGAAATTCGAATGGTGTGTCGCCGTGGGTGAGATGATGAGGCTGACAAGGGGTGAAATGACATTCACGGAAGATGGAGAGACACCATTAGTGAATGCATTTGCACTCCAATGCAATCTCCATCAGGCACTCTTGCCAGCCCTTGCGACACGGCAGCACCACTCCCAAAACGACACCCCCAGACACAGTGTCGAGGGCGGAGGAGCTGGAGAGACTGTCTGAGATTTGTTCCTCAACTGGAGGGTGGACCACGAGAAAAGACCATCTGTGTCGCCACTGAGAAAGCCCGCACACGACTGAACGCAGTATCTTGGGGCCTGATTGCGAAGCACCGCCAAGGAGGCTGCATGTGGGGGTGGAAAGCTCGCGTTCATCCCTGCCACTGCTAGAATCCCCCATTGGGTCGCACTACTAGAAATCCACTCCCCAGTCCGACAATCAACAAGTACAATGCTATGTCTTCTCTCTGGCCATCGAGTGTGAACAAATATTCTGCGAAATACAATGCTTCTCTGATGTTTCTCTCTATGCACTTCAATTCCAGAGGAATTCTCACCTTAAAATGCCGAAAATGCATTGCTCGATTGAGCAAGAACCACAGATTCAGTCACGCTATGACAACACTCAAATTACTATTGTGCGCGGGATTGAATTCTAGATATTTTTTTTTTGAGGAAAAATTGCTGATTCACTTTAACAGTTTTTATCAAACTATTTGCCTTGAGAATTTGCCACGCGAATGCTTTCATCACTCAGAGTCAAATGCAAACTAATTGAAGAAACGAAATCTTGATGCCAGAATTAAGGCTTTCTGTCCGCATAAATCAAGGAATAAAGGAAGTGAAAAACAACATTCTGTCCATATTTTATTACTACTATAAGTTAAATAATTCTTTATGTTACAATTTAGAGAGCATCACAATTTTTTCCTTTATCTCCTTCCTTCACATCTCTTCACGGTCACTTCTTTATACACAATTGCGCTAATTGAGAGATATATTTATTACCTTTGTGCTTTCTCCCCACATCTTATGTGCTTTCATCAGTAATTATATTTTACTCTTTGATAGAAAATAACACTCACACAATGATTTTATCTTGTCTATGGGGTGAAATACCAGGGATTGCGTGCGGGATAACTCACATCCCCATCAAACTGACTCATTGGTGCATGTTGCAGAGTGTAGCAAGAAGGTACTCTTAGTGGAAAGCCCTAGCCTAGTCTGCCCATTGGTCCGTGACTTGATGGTTGCAGTAATCTTGCTGCTCGAGGAGCTTTTTGGTGCCAGCCGTGCCATTGAGCTTCACTGTGCAATTGCTCGTGACACTGTTTGCACAGCAATTCATCTTGCCGACTATCTTGGGTGTCCTCAAGCAACTATCACGATTTATTAAGCTACTCGTCACGTTGCTCATCGATCGCCTGGGAAGATGATGGTTGATGTGGTTGTTGTTGTGGTTCGTGATCGAAGGGATGGAGTTGTGTCGCACACTCAGCGTCTTCCTATTGCACGATTGCGCCAATTTCATCCACTGCTCTTTATTGTTGCGCACACCCTCAACGAGGGGCTCCAGTTTTGGTGATAATACAGCGAAGGCCTGCGGAGAGAGAGAGCTTTTGCTAGAATCACTGTGTCTCGGCGAGAGTGTTATAAAACACCACAAATCCTCACCTCATAGATGGGTAAACATATAGAGTCGATGAATCCAACTTGCATCATTGGTAACTGATCTTCCTTCTCCCTGTCCATAATGTCCTACCATCGAAGATAAACCGAATAGAGACACACACACAGTCAGCAAAATGCGTGGCTAAATTATACAGCAAAACTCACAATAGGTGTAATGTTGAGTTCCTGTCGTTCCATATCACCTTGCTCGAAGAACTCCGAACTCACGAGATCCGCCACCCGTTTCTCAATCTCCCACGGCTTTGTGATAGCCGATAAATCACATACAGTCATACTCATGGCACGAAGCAGGCCTCTGGACTCATCGGCCAGCCAGTAGTTCATTGAATTTGGTTTAACAGCATTTAGAAATGGTCCCCGTTTCCTGCAAACACCATAAGAAAAAATCACATTGTTAGAAGAAATTGCGGAAATTTCCACAAGTGCCATTCTTCACATTGAGATGCACATGTGATGTACAATTCCCAAAATACCAAAACACATATTATTCCATCAAGGCGAATGAGTCTATACGAGATGAATCTATTTTCAAACAAGAATTTCCCTCACCGCGCACTCTTCCATCCCCGAATGAATGTGTGTAATTAAATAAATGCCATGGCTATATCAAAGTGATGGGAAAATACCGAAATCCCACAACAAATTTTGTCATGTGATACCATTCTAGTGAACTTTTCGTGAACACGCGACTTATCACAGCAAATAGATAGAAATCATGTGCCTCTTGTTGCTATAGACAATGTTCACGGAATATACGCAAATGGCATTGTCATTACCGAAAATAAACTGCAAGATCTGTTGATAGGATTGCATCCTCAAGTACGCGTATCACCTTGCTGTAGTCGTCGGATGATAAATTCGACAGGATTTGGTTGCCAGGACTATTGAGGATGAGCACTGGAAAATGAAACATACATAAATACACGATGCACACATGATTAAAGGCCAGCTCTCTTGTTTATTACATAATTTTATGTCAAACACTGGGTATTTTGATGTTAAATTGTTTCGATAAAATAGACACATGCACGTACGTACATCAAAATAATCCCCTATGAAGCTGAGAAATCAAATAGTATTTTAACAGAATTTGTGTTTATATGCTTATTGACAGGAGCAAATGTTTGTTTCCGCTTCACCATCGCGAATTTCTATGAAATATAATCCACAATGATTTATAAAATAAATGGAACAATGTTATCTGTGTTTTCCTACTTCACATACCCAAGTTTTGACTGTGAATCTAAATTTATATACAGAATCTTTGTTCTGCTTGTTTAAGAGAATCTTTATCAAAATTCCTCCCAATAAGGCTCAGTGAAAAGTATAAAAAAGAGTATTTTCTAAACCAACATTTTATCACGGGGACAAAAGTGAATTAAGACTTATTCTCAGTCTATGTTATAGGGATAACCAGCTATACGATGCTAAAAACCCGAAAATGATTTTTCAAAATTTAAAGAAAAAAAACTTACAGCAATGATCGAAATGATGATGCTCCATCGTTGATGTGGAGTACAATTGAGCGAGAGGAGATGATGCTCTGAGAAGTACGTGAAAATTAGCTCAAGTTCATCATCTTTTGAAACCTCGAGGATATTACTTGATCTGAAAAGAGTTGTTGGTCCCTCGGTGGTCGAGATCATGACACAAGCAGGCGATCACGAGTGCCAAGCACTCAATGTCCCCGAATATCTTCCACCACTGAGTCGTGGTGAGGATGGCGAACATCATCTGCGTCACGTTGAAAGCGTGCCTCCAGTTGTGATAAGTCACATGGCGATAGTTCCTCTTGACGCTGAGCAGCCACCGACAGAGTACCTCGATGTCGATGTTGAAGCGATCCACGAGGGAGAGATCGTAGAACATCCGCAGAGATGCCAAGAGAGTGTCACTATCCTCCATGTGCATGTCATCGAAGGAGAAGTCGTGCAACTTGAAGAAGGCCGCCGAAGGGACTTTCAGTCGCTGTGGATGGAAGTGATAAATCTGAGAGAGTGGCAATTTCGCCGCGAGCCAAGTGACACTCACCCTCAATCTGATGGCATCGTCAATTGAGGCGGAAACATGATAACTGAGAACTTCGAGGGTTACACTCTGCTTCGCCATCGCGACCACCGCCTTCTCGTACATGTGAGTATTGTGGATGCCCATGCCGCAGAAGATGGCGAAAGCCTCCACGAAGTTCTCGTCGTTCTTTGTGAAAATCAGATCATTGAACTTATTCACTAGCTGAATCACACCGATTATCTGGCCCAGTGAATTCTTTATCGCCATACAGAGAATGGACTTGTGCTTGAAGGATTGTCCCTCGTCGGCACTCGGGTCGAACCGGTGATCCTCATAAGCATTGGAAATATTCACAGTCTGAAGGAAGTGAAGCCAAAATGTAGGAAAAGTCCAGAATATCGCAGTGAAACAATTGAACTCACCTCTCCAGTCATTGCCACAAACCCTGTAATACCCACATTGATAGGAAAGCGACTCTCATACGGACTAGTTCTAGCTTGACTGCCATCCTCGCTGAGGTCGTTCGGTTCAAAGTCGAACACCCGCGAGAAGGAGCCTTTGGATGCCTCATGGACGAGCAGGATCTGCACACGCTGGCACTGGATGAGGCTCTGCATGTGCGTGAGTATCCGGAAAACCATATACTCTATCGTGCTCTGCTCCTCGAAGATCATCCTCGCCAAATCCAGCAGCACTTGATTGCGCTTCACCTCCAGCTGCGACTTCTCGTACAGCTGAGCATTTCGCAGTCCAATGCCGCAGAACTGGAGATAGCGCACGAAGACCTGTTGAGAGGAAATGATGATGAGGAAAAGTCCATAACAGCACGCCTACTCGAAAAGTACAAATAACTTTATTACTGGCGATGGGAAATTCAATTCCCCATAGCTTGTCATTAACCTCTCGCGCTATGTCAGTTATGCCCACTTTGAACAATCAAAACTTTGGAAAGTGCTCTGCAATTTAGCACTATATTGCATGTATGAGATTCGGAAACATAAAACAATAAAATTAGTTTATGTCACTCCATCAAACTGTTGAGAGTTTGCGCTTTTCCCGTGTGCGGCAGCAGAAAACTCAAACATATTCTCATGCAGAGCCATGGACATAAAAATGAGTTGCTGTGCAATAAACTTTAGCACTCGCTTTACGAAGGATTAAAGTTAAACGCATGGATATTAAGTGCTCTAAAGACCCGCGCGGAATCGATTGATTCAGCAAATGCAGGGATTCGCGCTGCACCTTCGCACCACTTGCACTCTGTCCCATCGACGCAAAAAAAAACCTCCACAGATCACATACATTGTTTCCCATCAATCGATGCGGAAAAAATGAGCTGGAAAATACACCGAAAGCGCTCTTCTGATGCACATAAAGTTGCCTATAAAATATAAATATTTCGAGAAACGAAGAACATAACAGACACATTGTGAATTTATAGCATTCGCACCAATAATTCATGGCTGCTTCACTTCGGGGAGGAGTGCAAAGGATTTGCACAAAAAATCATTACGGAAAAATCCATCCAAAGTGTCACGACAGGAAGTCAATTGACAAAAATACAACTTTGTTTGCTGCTACACTGCTAGGAAAGCACTCTCTGTGCAAGTGCACTTGTAAAATCTATGTAAATTGCGTTGAATTAAAAAATAAAATAAATAGAAAACAAAATTTTTCAGCATTTGTCAATGGATTAATTGAAATTAATTGACTTTCTGAAAAATGTCACATCCAGAAATTCGTGCAATAAATATATTTTAGATAATATCATTATTTTGTGCTAAGCACTTATCGTCTTTTAAAGGGTAGCTAAAAATATATAAGATGCTCAGCTGACTAAGGTCAATATATTACGATTATTGCTCAAGACAGGTGTCATTTCCAGGATTTCAAGGTATAATTAAATAATTATTATGTGATTTCACAATAAGCGAAAGGTCTCAATGCATTTAATGACATGGGATCAATGGCCATCAAGCTGAAAAAGCCTCCATAAATGTTCCACTGAAATTCACCCACGCAAGTGAGAAATCAACTGCGGAAACAGCGGGTTTTCAAACAAATGGCCATTAATTTGTGTTTTAATTGAATTGTTCTGTCGCGATTGTTTTCACAAATATTTAATCCCACCCTCAGAGTTCGCAGCGCACATGGCAAGTGACAGTGAGCAAATAATTTGGGGCGGTTTTACCCTTTGGTGTTCTTTTTCTCGCAAATAAACGCCACGAAATTAGGTTAAAAGCTGAGGGATTTCGCGCCGACCTGGAGTGCGGAAAAACGGGCAACGCTGCGAAGATAACAAATGTGACACTTTCGCGAGAATATATAGTTTTGATGTGACATCCACGGAGGTCGATTTTATTTATCATCATTTATTATCTGTGCGACTGCCTCATGTTTCAGTGAATTATTCATTTATCCGCATATCGTGGATGATGCGGAGAAAAGCGCTGTGACACTTCGCGGAAAGCTCCGGATGGCTCCTGAATAATAAAAGTGAGACCAGTGGAAAATTGCAAATCGATTTACTGCCTCATTCCGTGTCACTCTCTCGCCTTTTTTTCATCCCGCTGAATCTCACTCTTTTCCTTGGTGGAAAATTAAAAGATCACCCCCACTCGCAAAGTTTCCTAGGAGTAATCATTAATTACAATCACCCGTTTGGCTGTGCTATATCACAACTGGGTGGCACAATCGAGATCAAATTCTCAAGAGTCATTCACTTCTTCTCTGCCCTAAAACTGAAATCGATGAAAGCGCGCTAAGGAGTTCATTCAATTCCGAAATGTATGCGTGTATATTTTCGCAAAAGTCCCCGAGTGGGTGTTCTCAGCCCATCAGCTAAGAAAATCCCCACACACTCACCAGAGTGATAGCATCTCGCCCTATCATTTGCCCTTTCTCACTTTCCTCCCGCATTTTCCTATTTTCTTTGTGTTGAAATAAAGTTTATTTGGCAGAGCGAATCAAAATCACATCATCATCATTTGTATCACGGAGAGACCAGCCCAGAAAGGCATCACCAGGAAGATATCGACAACCGCACAGTGGATTGTGAATATTCACGAAGAAACTAATTCGTGTGCGGCAGCGAGATAGGAAGACGGCATTCCACTAACCTTTTCGTCGTTCTCGGTGAAGGAATCACCATTGAGTTTGTTGATGACTTGAGCCACTCCCACGACATCCCCCGTAGCATCTTTGATCGGCATGCAGAGCAACGCCTTTGTCCGGTAGCCTGTCTGCAGATCTATCTCCCGATTGAAGCGCTCATCCTGCAATAACAAGGACAAATAATCATTACACTTGCAGAAATTTCTCAATCTTCCCGCTTGACATTATGAATTTCAAGTGAATGTGAATCACACACACAATCAATTCAATTCAATGAACCTTCAGTGAATAATAAATGAAGCTAAAATTTCACATGAAAAATTCAATCCATTCTTAGCACAAATACACACTACTTGGCATTCTTAGTGCTGCGCAAATTGCAGCGGCATTTATTATCCTGGGGATATATTCATTTTCACTTGGGGGAAATGGACAAGAGAGATGGAATATTGCCGAGACTGATGAATTATTGTGCGTCTCATCGATGTTCATTAAAAATTTTCCTCACGACTTCGTCACGATGATACTGGAAGGCAATTAGGGAACTGTTTCATCTTCTAAGGACACATTTTCATGTGACGCTTGTGGTGGCGGAGACTACAGCGTATTCATGAAGGATATGAATGGCAACATCACCGCAGTGAAATTTAATACGCGCCTTGAGTGCTATTCAACTTTCTTCGCACCAAATTACATCGACAAGCAGCCGTGTAAAAAATATTCCACGTGCTTCATATCCCCAACTGAGAAGTATCACAGGTAATTTGAGGGAACTAATGATGAATAAAGAAGTTGCGAGTGTGCCAGGAAATTGAATTTCTTCTCAAGAATTCCTTTTGAATGCAAGCGAAACTCAGCTTCTTCCTCACTTTTGCGTATTGATTTGGAAAAGAACGTGATTTGAAACTTCTTCCATGCATTTTCCGTGCATTTTTTCTCCTCTACTGTAGCACAACAAGGAAAAACTCCTCTCGGCAGCAAAAATATCAGAAATCAAGACAATAAGCAATAAGAGAGTGTTCAACAAGTTTTTTCTACATCGCGTGTCTGACAAATCTTGGGTGCCAGAGAAGCAACTTAATGCGAAATATTGACATGGGAAAAACATCCTTCTCACGACATAGAGAGAAAAGCATTCTGTTCTGGATTGTCGTCGGAATGAATACAATTCTGATAGACTGCCAAAACAGAGTTGAAAGGACAGCGTAAAGTTAATGACTTCAACATTGTCGCTCGTGTGCTTATTCTATCTAATCAATAATTTTACAGTTTATTTATCTGAAGCAATTTACCAATTGTAACACTTTACGAAGACAAACAATATGACTTCAACTCTGTGTGCCACAAATGCAATTTCAGCATTATTTTCGGATATCTTTTTCACTTGCTCAAACCCTCTTGGCCGCCTCTGCCATTCTGTCTCTACGTTTCTGAGTTGGTTTCTCTGTCATCATCCATAAACAACTCCAGAGGCGTGGAATGTACAATTTCGGGTGACAAATGTTGGCAAGGACACTGAAAAGCACCCAACTTTGCTTATGGGTGAGTTGGGATTTTTGATGGAAACGCGTGCTAATAAAATGTGCAAAGAGACGAGTAATAACCACAGAAATGTAAATAATTCCCCAACCATTTAGCTTGATAAAAAGCTCCATCTTCAATTTCTTCCATAAAGCTTTTTCTATTAGAGGCCACAGATAACTGTGCGCAGGAATAAATGAGTCAAAGTGATACAGAGAAGAGATTTCTCACCATAGCAGTGAAATTTGAATAGCAAAGCTTGACTGACAATATCTGAGATGGAGAAGATAGAAAGCATTCCACGGACGAATTCTGGATTGAGAAATACTCTCGAATGTTGCAAAAGTGCTCTAGACAGGCTATATGAGTGACATTTTGGGCATCTCCCAAATTCTAATAGAGTTGGCATCGACAGAGAGACCCAAATAAACAGTGAAGTGTGGAAACTGGATGCTCGAGGCATCTCCAGAGCATGTTCCGACTCAGCACCCATTCGGGACGCATTTCGCATGAAATCAATGATGACAATGGCATACCTGATATGCATCGGGAATGTTCACGGGCTCTCCACTCTCCGCAACATGTCCAGCTATTCCTGTGCCCCATGCCACCCGCACTTCCTCCTGCTGCTCCATCTCCTCGAGCGTGCTCCGTGGACAAACATCGAAGAGCTTTGATACCAAGCATCTGGAAAACAGAGCATTCATGTATACATGAAAAGGGAGGAATTTTTCAGTAGTTGAAATTCCAAATCACAAGAAAATACAGACTGAATATTCTGTGTCTTTATTGCTATAGCAAGCGACAAAAACATTTATGCAGGTGCACATGATAAATTACGCATAGTTTTTTGCACTTAAGGTAAATCTAACTTTTTAGCAAATTTCAAACTTTATGCTGAGCACAATTTGCATTAAAGTCAGAATATTTTGCTTGTAATTCGATTCATATGTTCTTTCACGCTAAGAGAGTTTCAACATTCTCTCAGAGTGAGAGAAAATCCTTGTTTTCCACACTGTCGAATTGAATTTAACATACTGGCTTTAGGAAATTGAGTGGGAACGAAACAATTACAGAGAGTAGTACCAAATAAAACATGAAGCATCCGAGAGTTGTTGAATATGTCTCAAGAAGGATGCTTCAAATGAGGTGTTGAATGTATTTTATACAATGACAAGTGTTTTCAGCTGTCATAAAATTCATTTCAATTTACTGCACAACTTTCTTGTATTATTTGTCAGAGCTTGGAGGCAGAGGAGTACATCCTTGGGGATGAAGCACTCTCAGGGAGGCTTTCACACTTTCACATGTCCCATGAATAAAAAAGCCGCGAATCTGTTTATATGCGATGAGAATGGCTTGAAGGTTGTTCAGCACCCACGCCTTCTTGAGAGGCTAAAGAATAGGACGAGAGTCTTAGACGAAAAACATCATTGAGTGGAGGAGAATGCCTAAAACTCATATGCATTCAAGGACCTACGGTGGTGGCAAACGGAATGAAGCTGTACGATTGTTATTCAGCAACATCATCATTCTGCCAAAGCCCCACTATTCCCCAGTCGCGGAGACGCAGAAACAGACCAACTGCTCAGAGAGGGTGGAAATGTTCAAAAAGTGACAGAGATTTATTGTAGCGCTGCAAGAAATTTGTCTCATACGATGCTCAAATCCCAATTTGAGCAAAAAAGCGTCTCCCATCGTCTGTCCTGAAAATTTCAGTCATTAAACACTCTCCCACCTCTCAACATGGGCGCGTACTTATTAATTATGTCTTTACCCATAAATTGTGCCAAATTAATTGGTAAACCGATGAGTGACACATTTTGCGGGGAGCTCGTGGACGCTAGATTGTCTTTCATTTGATGATTAAGTTGTGTGATAAATTGCCACTTACTTCTTAGGGACGTTCTGGCACGCATTCGTGCGTCCCTGGACGAGAAAGAGAGATCCCCGATCCGCATTGAGCAGTATCGAGACATTCTGCAGGATTTTGTGGCACAGCGACCTCACGTCCAGTTCATTACAGATGTCCTTCACCTGCGAAAGCGAAGAGAGAAGTGATCAGTTCCGCATCGGAGACGTCGTGGCGGCGGCAGAAGTAAGTTGACCCCACGCCGCGGGACATGATTCAATGACCTCACAACGACGATACCTTACCAATTCAAAGATGAGCTCCTTCTCGTCAAGGAGCTTGAGTTCATTGCGTGACAATCGCTGCGGTCGCCCCCAACCGCCGGCCCCGCCCGCAGCCCCCATGACAGCTGCGGCACCCTCATTCTGGCAGCCGACGCTGAGGAACGTGGGGGTGCCGTCGATGGTGTTCACAATAGGCTTCAGCAAGCCCCCTCGCTCGAACTCGTGGGCTGAGATTTTTCTGTCAAGACAAAAAAAAGCATCACATATGGAGTGTCATTAACCCCGCTAATTCAGGAGAAGGTCGGAATCCTGAGCAATTCCATCTCCGCTTGACTATTTCTCCATTTCCTTCCAATCCACCCGCCGAAATTGCCCACATTTGCTGCTCTTCAACGGAATTTCTGCCCAGTGAGTGGAAAATTTTCCCTCCTCGCCCAAGAAAATATCCTCATCGAGAGTACCCAGTTAAACAATCAAGAAGTTTCCCACTCAGAATGATAATGCGAATTGAATAAGTCAAACAGCGATTCTTCAAAGTATCTCACCGAATTTCCTGTTTCTCTAAGACGTCCATACACCCTTGGCGGTACATCTAACTAATTTGGTTAAATCGTAAAACTTCAATTCACAAAGTTGAGTGTAAAGAGCTACTTAGGAGACGTTATGACGCAGGGGAATGAGAGGGATTCTACACAGTAAAGTTACTCAGTTACTACATATTTTAGTAATAAAATCTTCTGCCGACTTTAGTCTCCTTAATTCGATATTGACAGACTCAAACCACAAAATCGACACTATGCAGAACTTTGCTAATTGTGAACCTAAAACCCCATTCAAATTTGCATCGTTCTCCCCTATACAACTTTGGCTGCTGAAGGATAAATTTCAACGAGCGAAAGAGTTTCTCGCACAAAAGCGATGCTTCGCTGTGACAAAATCAAATTACTCTGAAATGTCTTAAGTGAAATGCATCTCTAAAGTGTACGATAAACTATTTTTTCAGCGGTTGCGAAGGGAACTTTTCAAATTATCTCTGTGTTTTGTTTGGAAATGTACTTCACGTGTTCGCAAGCGTGTGCGCAATATTGGGAGAATAAACAAATTCGTATCCCAGCATCTATCCATTCACATTGAAATTAGAGTCAACGATCCGTGCGTGGCACTTCCCAATCGGGCTATAAATTCGCATTTGCAGCACTTCCTCTTCCCAGGGAATTAATTAGCAGGAGTCATGGGTGATAAATATCCTCACCTGACTGGAGTTGTGGCCCCTGAGCCGCCTCGCGACGAGCAGGCGCCCGAATTGTAGGTTGGCGATGATATTTCCGCCCCCGGCGTGGCGTGATTCACGAGCCACGCGTCCACAACCTGGCGCGTGGCCTTGCGGATGAAGTAGTCCTGCGCGAACTCGGGATTCTCATCCAGCCAGGCCTCCATGCGAGCGTACTCGGCATCATAGCTGACCTGCGTGTCAGGTGCGGGCAGCTGCAGTGGCAGGGGGACGCCGGAACGAGTACCAGAGTCCGCGCCCCCCTGCTCGGCGGGCATTCTGTTCTGAGGCGCGTCTATGCTTCGCAGGTGTAAGCCTACAATGACAGAGAAAGTTGGCGAGTTAACGAACGCTCGAGAAGGAAACCCGTTACATTGAAGCCCTCCCACACTTTCGCAAAACCTTAATCAGCCGTGTAAGGCAATCCGCATGCCATGTATGACGAAGTCAGATGATTTCCCCTTCTTGTCCTCCACACACAATGTTTCTTTTTATCGTCAACCAATGCGACTTTTGGCATGAATTTCACGAATTTCAGTTTCTATTTCTGGCAAACGAATTCAATTTTATGACACTCCGCAGGGTAATTGCACCTATTTTTGGCTCCCACCTATAAATGGAGGTTTGATTGAATTATTTACGACAATTGAAGCTCTCCGCTGTTTCCACCCTCTTTCTCTACCACTCGATGGAGACGCCGGGTGACACTGGGCGTCTCCATTGGTTACATTCACTTGTCGGTTCTCGTTGTACCTCCTTATTTTAAAACACCCTCGACGGCAGGTCTCGCGTAGGCTTCTCTTCTTCACGGAATCCCTGCCATTCTCATATGTGACAACATCAATTTGCTGTCCAGCTTTGCTGGCATATCGCCAGCTGAACCTCCCTCCAATGCCAGATACAATCACAGAATTATATTAATTCAATTACGAAATGTAAGAGAGAAGCTGAGCAACAGACCGAAAGAGCACCAAATTGCTCAATTTCGAAGACACATAGAGAAAACACCAGAGGTACGATAAAAACTAATCGACACATCAACTTGATGATTTATCTGACACAACATCCGGCACTTTATATACTCTCTTTCTCTTCTCTTCCTATCGGCCTTCTGGCCACTCGTCGACTGGACAATTTCACGAACATTTGTGCGGTGTTGAATAAGGACAAACACCCTCAGAGTGTTTTATGGAGTGCATGCCAAAATCCAGCATCACGAAGTGGGTCAGACTGAATCAACGTGACTCAATGACACGAGGAAAGTCTAGGGGTTGCTCCAGAAGCAATCACACATGCTAAACAATGGTGAAAAGTCCTCCCGATGATGAGGGTCTATCACCACTTAATAAAACACACACTTCACATCCAACCCATAATTGCGATAAATGTGCGTCTGCCTCTTGCCAAATTGTACCATCGCTCACTCATTCGAGTGAAATGATGGAATTTAATTTTATCCCCCATTTCACCTCCCTTCCGACAACTTATGCTTTTTTCCCATCCTCAGCCACCGTTCTGAGCGACACGCGAACCTAATTAATAAATTGAAGCGTCTCTTCTGCTGTAGATGAGTGATTTCCTTGACGCATCTCCACGCGAGGACAAGGTTGACGTCCACGAGCCCCCCGTTTTCAAGTGAAACAATATGACAAAAATAATTACGCATACACTTTTGCCCAACATGGCTCTGAGACGGCTTGAGAAGTCCTATTAGAAACTATTTAAGTAACATAAGTATGCATTTCGTTTAGATCGTAAAGCCAAATAGAGCGGCAATAATAAAATTAAATGCATCCGCATTTTGTGAAAAAATAAAGACATCGTGAACAATGATACTACGCATAAGCTAAGAGAATAACTTTATTGCTGATTCTGGGAGGGCAAAACGCTCTCGTTGAATTTTGTGAGCGCAATTCAGCATAAAATGCCATTTATGGCATTTGGCCAGTTTTCCTCCGCTGAGGGTCAGTCTGAGGAGAAGACAGCGAGCTAAGTGCTGAAAATATTTTAAACTGAAAATGATTTAATTCAATTCTTCCTTTCAAGCAATTATCTAAAGTTTCAGACAAGAGTTAATCCAAAGAAACTACCCCTAAGTTCAGAATGAATGTGAACAGCAAAACAAGCTTGTAATACAAGCCTTGTGACAAGCAAATCTGGGTCCAATTATAATTTCACCGTGACAAATGCAACCTGCCTTCGAAAAGCTGAATAATATGGGTTAATCAAATTGTCCATTGCATTTATTTCATATTCAATTTTACAAACGAGCGCTGGGAATGCAAAATTCATTGCTTTTCGCTCGAATATTTGATTTGGCATTTCTATTTCAAATTCATTTTCATTCCAAAACAGAAATGAGAGTACATACATATTTGATTCGGGCATATGGAAAGCGAATTGATCATTTCCGCGAAGATGATTCCCTTATGCCTGATTTTTTTGCTCCCGCAGACGGAAGATTGAGCGAACGGCACAAAGAACCAATAAAAGCATGTATTAATCAAAAAGTGTTCGCTTCCCCATAAAGGCAATTTCTTCACGAATAATTAAACAAGCGTCGCGCTGAAGTGAATTTTTATTGCTGCGAGGGATGAAATTGGGGGTGAGGCTTACTTTTCTTGTAGCGGCATCCACGGAAGCGGCACATGCTAGATGTCTGGCCCATGGACTTGCCTCCAGTGGGATGTCCACGGGTAGAGGAAGTCACTCCTCACCCTTGTCCAGCAAATCGCCCGCACCGCACCATGGACAGTGTAAATAATGCCAGCGAAACAGCGTCACATCACTCACTTCTTCGCACTTTCTTCCAAGCTCACCTCCCGCGTGGAGGCGCCTGGTATGTTGTCATTAAAACTTAAAATACGCACACAGATCGGAATCAATCTATTTAATTGCACGTTGCTTAAGTCTCTGCCTCTCTCACACTCTGAATATCGCCATTATGCAGTTAATTGGCGGATGGATGGGCGCGAGACGAGCAAGAATACTGTGTAAATGGGCATATTTGAAAATTCTCCACTCAATTATACTCCATCTTATGTAACTCACACGCTGTGAATCAATCAATTTGTGGGCACAATGAAAACAATCGTAAATTTTTATTAAATCGTCTGCGTCGTACAGTTTCACTCTGCATTGCGACAAGAGATTCAAAAAACGCGCTTTATGTGTCCGACGCGCTCTTCGTTAGAAAACATCGGAATTATTTCAATTAATAAAACGGAACTCAAGCGAGTGGGATGGGAAGTTGAAGAAGAGTCGGAGGGAGAGAAAGAATAATTGCTTCACTCACATATACATATTCTGGCGAAGATTGCGGTATTTCACCCCCCAAACCATTTCCATTGATGTACATTTTCACCCCGTAATTCGCCAATTTATGCAGAAAATGCTAATGGACTTGCGAGTCAAGTGCATTAATGTTGTTGAGTACTTTGCCAGCCATGTTTCAATGAGTTGCTATACTTGTTGAATAAGTTAATTAAAATTTGCTACCCCCACGGAGAAGGGTGATGGAAGAGGGAGAAAATCGATCTCAATTGCTGTAGCAGATGTACCAAAGTGTCCATTCACTTAAGAAACTAATACCACGCTTTTTCCAATAGCCGAAACCCATGGCCAAGACAAAGGCACCCTCGGTAGTTTATTGCTCTCAACTCAATAAGGCTCGTGCGATAAGGGGTTCTGCCATAAGAAATCGAGACGACGCGTACATATAATTTACATTTCTGATGTCTTACAAGCGGTAAAGTATTTTTTTCTCAACACTCCCCGCACGATATCAGGGGAGGAAATGTGCTTAATTACCAATTTCTCAGTCACTTTCCTCGCTTCCTTGCCATTTAACATGCTCAAGAGCCAAGGTTAAGGAACTCGAGGCGGTCTCGAAACGCAAGCAAAAACATGTGGTGGAAGCCCCACGAAAAACACCTGAAGCTCCCCATTGTGATCGGATTTATTGTGGAAAGGTGTGTATATTTCTGGTGTGGAAAATAGCTCGTGGAACAACAATGGAAAGTTTGCCAGTGCAAGAAGAGAAAAGTCTCCCCCCCGAAAAGTAATGGTGTATCTCTCCTCCATCTGCCAACACTTTAGCCGTTAGTAATAAGACAAACAGTCATTCGGGTGTTATTTAAACTGGAGCTCAATGACTCCAAGTTTGCTCGATGACGTATGTTCTGCGCCCTGCCCACCCGCACACCTCTGTCTCATGTGACACATTTGGAGCGGCAAGTTTTTAGCCGAAAAGAATGAAAAAACTGCCATTGACCCACTTTGAAGTTTTATTAGTATTCTTATACGCAGAAAGTCAGATGATAGGCGAGTACGCGCGTCTCACATGGGAGGTTGCTCCAATGCGAATGGATACAATTATTAATCAATAAATGTGACTCTCAATTGAATCTAATTGCTTGCAAATATAGCCAATAACCAAGCTTTGTGCACACCGGAAATTATATGACGCGTGCAGATATGTTCTTTGAGTCGTCATTCCAGGATACACTTCTAATCCGATGCTGTGCTGTACAATTCGATTAATGCCACAAGCAGATTGAATGAAAATTGTTTGTGCAGCGATAAAATCATCAGTATTCAATTAGGCTCTGTTCAGGAGTCTGCTTAATGCCATTATTTCGAGGAGAAAGGATTATATAAAATCATCACATCTTAGAGCACTTTTTGCAATTGTCAAGTATATGTTTTGCAACAGCGCATAACAATATTCAAAAAATATGGATGCGTCGCAAAGTTTTTAAAAATCCCAGCTTTTGATAATCAATTTGCAATATGTATTTCGAAAAAATTAAGAAACTAAAATATTGCTCACAATTGCTCGAAATTACTGTGTTTTATGATTCGCGCTCCCCAATTCTTAGTTCCTCAATTCTCCCAACATTGATTTCTCTGCGCGACCAAAAAAGAGAGCTCTTTTTATTAGAGGCTTAATTCACAAAGCCTATGTAATTATTTGTCTTCGCAAGAAAATATTATCTTGCATTAAATTCTTGAGAGAGAGAAAGAGAGAAAATTAAGAGGAGGGAAAAAATATGTTTTCTCGGTTTTCTCCTAAAATTAACTACGCCAACTCACAAGTTTCAGGTGAAAATTCTTAAATGATTCACCTGGAATTTCATCCAGTATGCAAATTATTACGAACCCCTTAAATAATAAATTCACTTTGTAATTTCTTCCAAAGCGATCCACTCGGGCCGCCATGATTACAATATTCAACCCTCAATAAGTAGAATTTATGACATAAAACAGCACCTAAATTGATGAGACAAAGCGAGGAAGGGGAAAAATTCAAAATATCCTACGCAATAGAAGCTCATGTTTCGTTTCTATCCCAAAAAGAGTCACAGGAATTCAATTCAATTGAAAAAATAATAATTACACCTCCTTCTTATTTAAATTGGCCATCAACAGTCGAAGAAGACACATTTCTTCTGCATATATTGATTACTAATGACGACTGAAAAACTCTCAAGCATTCGCCTTACTCAATCAACATGATGATCACGTAACATTTTCTTTTCGAGGCAGCACAACTCATATAGAAGATGCTTAGACGTCACTAATGGGTAATTTTCATTGATGATTATTGATTTGCTTATTTAATTCAATTGGACTTGTTTCATCTCCATTTGCAAGACGCACTTTCTCATACCATCAAGTCTTTACGCATCTCAGCCACAGGCTAAGCACTGGCTAATCTTAATTTGCTGTATGGAAATTTTTCCCCATGAATTTCCAATCTCTGTGAATTTGCATAGATTCTCGTGAATTTGAGGTGGCTCGATAGCAAACCCATTAAGTTAGAATTCTTCAAAGATCCTCCTAGTGGCAAAATTCACTTATAAACTCGTGTTGCACTCCAGTGATTTAATTCCATCATTGATAGGAACAATTGTGTTGATCTCACGACGAGTGAGGAAAAATTGCGCACAATTTGTACGTTGTAATTGATGGCTGTATTTGCTATATTTTATCATAAACAATATCTTAACAATATGAAAAACTAATGAGAGATATTCATCTCGTGCTTCCCATTGTTTTCCCAGTGGAATTTTTCTGATGAACATCAACTTTCGTGTCGCTCTGAGTGAGATTGAAATTACAGGCTATTTTCAGTTGCTGTGGCGCCAGTTGGTGTGGGAGCTGAATTGTGAACAAAAAGTGCCTATGTCTAGCACAAGTGCAAAAAAATTTGCCAATCATTTGATACTCAATCGAGATAAATTGCGTGTGCACTACACAAAACAACTTTAAAGCCTTCAACACTGGAAATCGCTTGATGTCAATGGATGTTGTTCGCGGAAACCGCAAACTGTTTATGAAATTCACAGCCAATGCTCATATTTTATACGCCTAATAATTATAAATTTCACTATTATTTCCCGTGATTTCATGTGAAATGAAACCCAAAATCGTAGTACAAAGTGACGAAATCGACCAAACAATATTTAAATCTTATGTAGCGAAGTAAAGCTGTCGTATTATAAGTATGTATGTGTTTATTTAAAGATTTGTTCACATTCCTTGTATTTAATTTCATTGAATACTTCCTTCATAAGTCACGCTTATAGTAGAAAGGGAAATTCATCGAAAGCTCCGCCCACTCACATGCCAAGCCCCGTTGATTATAATGCCCAAATCACACAATTAAGTGTTTCCTCAAAGTTTCGTGTTCGATATTGCTAAAATGTTGGTTTTAATTTAATTAAATTTCACTTAAGCAACACTTTTGCCACCCACTGTGCATTTCTCTCCTCTCCATGCCGTCAAAATGTAACTTTAGTCGCCGCATTCATACGATTTTTGATGGAATATACACGCAAAAATTCCCGCCAGCAAATAATGTGTAAACACAAACGGCCTTCAAGATTTTTTCATCATCATCATCATCATCTTCGTCTTCTAGTTTATCTCCACTGTAAAATACACCGAAAATGGAAACAATGCCGTGTGTGCGTGTAGAATTGTAGTAACACGAATAAAATGAGAAAAAATAGAAGAAAGAAAGAGTGTAATATTGAGGAATTATCATAATACAGTATATGCAAATGATTTAATAAATGGTAATAGGAGATGAAATATTCGGGACACGACATCACTTTTGGGTGCCACACGACCCCAAAAAAAAAACAAAACACACGCCGTTTTTGTTGAGCTTTGACAAAAGAAGGCCTCCTCAGAAAAGGGATACACTTAATTATATTCTCACAGCATATAAACATTTGACCATGTTTATTTTATTCATGGGAAAACAATATAAAACGATATTTGTGCAGAAATTGCAGAGGATAGAATTACGCTATTGACTGTGAGATTGAGTATAGAGAAGTGAACTCTCTGGAATGCAACAAAAACATCTCGGATTTCCAGTAGAATGCATTTTTGAAGTGTAAAACACCCACTCATTCGTGTTATATTAATGCATTGAATGCGCCCATCTTGAGTGTAGTGGGATTTAGGAAAATTTCGGAATTCCCAGAAAATTTTCGATTGGAAAATGTCTGGTAATTGAATTTTAAATATTTAACACATAATGAACTACACGTGAAATTGTTGGGGTGTTTGAATACACCATAAGAATAAATTATTGGACATTTAGTGCTATTAAAGTCTGGGAAAAGCCATGGAAAATATTTAATATTTTCCCCACAGTTATTGCCAATTTATACCCTACATATAAAATCATTCACACTGCTCTGAAATGTTCTTGGCTGTTTTTCGGGCACACATTCGCAGAATTATATTAGGAAAATTTAATAAATGTGCAAATTGGATCAGTAAAGAAAATATTTTGAAAGACTTCTGAGCCCAATATCGACAGGTTTTCACTTGGAATGTAATTTTCAGCCACTCCGCAGACATTCACTGTGACTCTGTAGAGTTTTGCTAAGTTTAATTTACAATTTATAGTAGTATATATATATTTCTGGACAGCGTGTGCTTGAGAAAACAAACACTGCTGCAGAACAAACGTCATACTTCTGGCCATTGCGACAATTAACCAGGCATGTTTTCCCGAGTTGGTTTTAGAATAGTAAATGTGTTATTAAATGATGGGATCAGAATCCGCTTATGCGAATACGTTGGAGGCTAAACAGCGAAAGGAGTCGTCAAGTACATGGGATTAAGTTGCTGAGGAGTGAAGGACTGACGGACTTTCTCAGCTGGTCTCATGGCAGAAAGGATTACGGGGGTGGACTCGTGTGGGAGTCTCAGCAATTTGTCGGTACAGCTTTAGCTGCTCAACTCCAAGTGATCCATCACCCGATCGCAGAGGTGCGGGTTTGGGCACAACCCTAAACTCCGGTGCATTTGCGGAATGCCGATGGGGATGGGCAGAAGAAATGGGTGAATGGCGTGAAGTTATAGATTAACTCCAACACCAGTGCGCGGACCGCGATGTTTGCGTGATTGAGAAAAGGTCAATTACACCACATCAAGTAGCAAAACACTCTGTGGCATGAAAGTGTTTCCACGGCAATTCGCATTTCAAATTGATCGCGGTTCATCAACGCCACAATATGAATGAATAATACATCCAATGTTCTATTTTTGCCATATATACTAACCCGACAGTATTGTGACCATTCTTGGCCTCTCCCTACACCACACAAATAATTTATGATGCACTGCGAATTTTAGCATACAACACCGACTCGACTATTGATGGCCCGATGGTGTTTCTTGCGTGCCGTCTCGAGGCACTATATCATGCCAATGGAGAGCCACATGGGGAAAGACTCCGTCGGCGGATCCCCGGGGTGGCGTTTGATGGATGACCCACGATGGAGCGCCGATAAAGAGCGCCACTGTCCAATGTCCAGGGAGTTGGCGGGGTTTTTCACCACGAACTTTCCAGCTACTCGAATTGAAAATTGTTGAATTGATGTGAGAGCATTTCGCTCTGTTTACACGCACTGATAAGTGAGATAACAACTACACAGGCACGCGAGTGCTCATTTTCTCAGCCTCTTACATTTGCTACTCATGATGGGAATTCAAAACATTCCCACTGATAAATGGCCATCGTAGTGGTCTGTAAATGGCTTTCTGCCACACAATCACGCTCTCCCGAATGAAATCTTTGGGCGTCCAGTCCCCTTGGACACACAAAAAACGGAGCCTCTACAAATTCACGTACTCCCCAAATTGATTGAGAAAGTCACACAGAGTGTGAGGAATTGATGAGTGTCGCCTTACGCAAAAAATTCTACACCGCAATAATTTCACAAGAGACCCAAGGAAAATTTTCCTCTCACTTTGACTCCACAGCGACAGCGCGTGTTTATCTTGGCCAGTCTGAGGAGCGCACACAAGTTCTTTGATAATTGCTCAAGTGTCTCTCAGAGACGAGCGCACAGGAAAAAACCGGTAGAACACTTCACCGCGACGCTCTCGTCATTTGAATGTTTACCCGCGAGAAACTGTGCCGGTTCGCTTTGGCCGCACCATCACTTCCGTCCCGACAGCCAGCAGTGAACTGAAAGCTTCCACTGTCGACTTGCCTCGCCGAGCCACAACCAACACGCCGCCGAGTGTGGGGCAGTCGAAAGCGTGCATCGGGCAGACACGAACTCGGCGCTCTCTGGGAACGTGGCAGGGGAGGGAGCTTTCCGAGACGATGCTCAACGTCTTGGCGGTTTCATTCACAGATGCTTGAGGGAGACGCAGGAGTGGGGGAGATGTGAAGTATCTGTCGAAGAGTGTTAACCAACGCTTGCTGGTGAAGACTTGACTTCCGGCAACAAGAATTCCTACACTTTCGGATGAGCCTTAAGAGTAAGCTTGCAAAATTCACTTCCCACCTGTGGCTACACATAGCTGTATTCCTAAATACTTCGCCTCGTGGATTTCTCACATTTCTTAGCACAGTGATTAAGGAATTCAACCTCATGTTTAAACTTTGTCTAAAACATTCAGGAGTCTCATTAGATTTTTCCTCAAAATGTGAAATCTTTCATCGATAAACTATTTACGGTTTTATATCTCAACGCATTTCAATGAAGACGTTTCTTAGTTTTGTCTTAAAGATAGTTAGAAAATCTACCTTGTAAGTGCCGCTGAGATCACAAGAATAACGGCATGAATTTTTAAGGATTGGATCAGGTAAACTAATTGCATTTTGATATCATGGTTCAATAAATCAAATCCTTCATTTCGTGGGGTTTTTTTTTCAATGGATGTCAAATGCCATTCTGATGCCAAATGTGGAACTCTGTTCTGGCGCATTTCCAGAAAGATATTGCAATTGCAAAGTGAAGTTTTTCCACCTGACACGCAAACATGCCATAAAGTTTCAACAGGATTTGCAGGATTTTCAAACTTTTACACTAAAGATGTCGACATAATAAATATATCGTAGAGTAAATAAAAACTAGCTCGCACTTTGCCTAGAATCTGTCATGGATCATACACAGTGATAGGACATTCTGCCTAATCTAATGCGACACATTGAACATTTTTCTTCTGCACAGATAAGATAACAGCGCTAATGTTCGCGTTATCGTAAAGCACAATGCTCCGACAATTTCCATACATCAATCATATCAAGCACACTGCGTAGATCGCATTAACTTTGTGCGTATTGTGAAATATTGCCAGATGTTCTTCTGGCGGAAAGGGAGGCTTGACGTCCAATCGCAGGTGTTGCCACTCCGGTAGCGCGAACGGGGGCCCCAAGACTCGGAGTACCTCTCTGGCGGCAGACACAGAATCATAGCACATTTGATCAAATATTGCGCATTGAACGGTATAGCACGATGCGAATACACATTTCATAATCTCTAACCGCCGACACCCACAATCCCATTTCGCGCCACAACACCAACGAATTCCCACCACTATAGTCGCCGCCCGACCAAATATTTATTCACGCCACTATATTTCTGTATATTTATTGCCGTGTGTCGACGACCAGGAGGAAGAAGTGCGAGCAGGAGCCCGAGAAATTGCTGGAGAGAAACTTATGCACTGCGCGACTCCATGACTCACGGCCAGGAGTGTGTGTGGCTGTACCTTGGACAGCAGCCTCTCCAGCTCAGGAAGCGCAATCGCGAAGAGAACCTCTTCCGCCACCAATGTGTATTGTCATCAAGTAGAATTACACGTGTTCCACCCCGCAATTTTCCCACTCGACTATGTTTACATGCCCTCTAATTCTGGGAAACTGTGAACTTGAAATTGATATTGGATCGTCTGGCTCGGCATTGTTTACGGCAGACCCGAGGCTCCGCGGGTGGGGATGGCGAAAATTGTTGGGTATGACGGAAATCGAAACTAAATACCCCCTAGTTTGGTAATTAGCATCCAGAATATTGCCTTTTCGAGGCACTGCATGTGAGGCGATAGCACACACGCTCCCAAGATTGCCCCAACGGTTACGTGGAAAGCACGTCAACGAAAATAACGATTCGCGGAGGTAATTGAAATTCAATCTATTTTTCTTTCTGATCGACACTGATTGCAAGCATAGTAAATGGAAATTCCTCATTGCATTGAAAGTGTCAAATATCACAAAATGTTGTGCTGTACTGAGAAGAAGAAGAGAAAAAAAATTCCATCTCTCAGTCAATTAATGCAAGTGTGTCAGAAGCAAATGTTATCTAATCACACACTATCCCGTAGTTTAGGCATCAATAAAACTAGAGATGATGGGGGAATTACAGTGCTGCTCAGCCACAACAATTCCCGCCACAAACTCAATTAGCTCAAACACCACGATGCAATATTTGTATACAATGGAAGGACTTTGGCTGGGAAATCGATATCACTTCACATAACACTCCAAACAGCAAGAGACCACGAAGCCGCCCCTTTGGGTTGAGATTTCCTAGGAAACGATGCTCGCGTGACAAAGACTCATGAGAGCCGCCAACCCTTCGCACAATCATCCGTTTTTATACACACCACCAAAGTTACTCGATATTCCCCCACGATATTGTACTGTACTTCCCACCCCCAACCCCTGACGATGATGTGTAAATATCTCTTAAATGTATTGCAACTTTATTTCTATGGACTTATTAGGCTGCCGCTCCGAACTCTCATTTCACGCAATATTTCAAATTATTTTCTCTATTACCCTCCTTAAAGTGCGTGCAAACAATGTTCTTGACTATTTAATTAATATGTCAGCATCGTTGCATGAAAATCACTCAAATTGACACATCGATTGATAAGAGGTGAAGGTTCGGTCGGTTCGGTAGACCTTTGCAAATGACTTCCTGCGATTCGAAGTCCTCAAATTCTTCATTACCCCAACCAAAATGTCAAGACGGTGTGGGAAAAATTGGTCGTGACTTGAGAATTAATAATAGCTTGGGTAGGGGCCAAATGATGTTTATCAAAAAGGCTTTCACGTGTCATCAATTTAACCATTATAGACACATCAATGCTGACGTTCTGCACCTGAAAGTTGAGACAGAATAACCCACCATTGACATTGAAATTGCCGCTGGTGTGGGTGAAACGGGACCATTGACATGAATTTCACTCTCTGGGAAAAGTTTCTGCAAATTTCCGCACCACTTTCAATATGCCATACTGTAATCTTCCCTACAAGGATGTTGGTGGAAACTTCCTCCGCATTCTTTGAAAATATATGCGATGATGCCGCCCTTGACATTGTGCTCACATGAGGCATCTATCATAATGCTTGTCATGTGGCTGAAAAAAGCCGGCAGACATAAGCACAATATGCTCTTTTGATTAGATTCTTATCATTTTTAATGCTGAAATACTGCGCCTCAAATGGATGAGACTGGGAAATCCATTAGAAAATAATGAATCCTTGAAAACGTAGGAGAGCGTGATGAAATAACTCAAAGCCAAAAGCGAAAAAGCTATATGGAAAGGCTCAGAGAGAGCGAAGTCTATTTAAAATGTAATTATTATGATAATATGTGTCCCGACTGATGAATTTATCACATGCCATGCAAACTACCCGCCCAAATAGGCTTACCCTCAACTACTTTGCATGATAAAGCTCACGATGAGCAATACTTTGGCTGCCTCTCATGTGCCGGGCTGGAAGAGCTTCGGTGCTCGTTACCGAAAACACCTTATAAGAGCAATGCGGTAATCTATCAATTTTTTGCACCACAGCTTTGAGTCTCTTGAGAATTTGGATTTTGGAATATTTTAGAATGCTCGATGAGGGTCTTGACGCAAATTGCGCTTGTCCGTTATTGGGGATTCATCTCCAGACACAACACATCAACACAATACATATATATGTATCACTAAAGAACAGATTGGGGATACTTCGAAAGTGGAGCGTTTATGGCCTTCCAATATATATTTTTCTTATTTCCACGTTCAGAACCCTTAACTTCTCATGAAGGCAAAACTGCTGATCTAGTCAATATCCACAAAAAATCACCACTTCTTTCTCAATACATAAGGACATCATCTAAGTGGAAACGTTAAACAATTGTTTGGAACATTCTTTGCACTCTGCTTTTTTCTTTAACTTAAGATATTTGATTATACTCTTTACAGTCATTAAGGACACTTTCCATACAATTATCCCAAGTTTTCAAGTCAGGAACATTCATTCATAAAGAACTTCAAGAGTCCATGATTTGGTGGAGTTTTCGCCAACTTCTTAATCGCTTGCCTCTTCGTTTTCGCATAGATTATCGCTAAATCCAAACTTTGTCTATAGCAATTGTACGTGTAAAGTATGCAACTCACCGATTTTTCGCCGTGCGCGCCAAAGCACGGGAGGTGCCGTATTACCTGGAGTCGCCAGCGTGAACTGTCCTTAAGTACCTGTGCCGGAAGGATGGAGAAGAGACGTGTTAGGAAAATGAGTGACAATGACGACAGAAATTGGAAGTAATAAGTTTGTGTGATGCCAACCGAGCCGCCCACCCGACAGAGGCCTTATCATTGTGAAATTTAACACGCGAATCGTTATCACAAGAGCCACGACAATATAGTCCATGGCTATATGCTATAGTCGTGCAGTGCAAATAGGGGAACATAGGCAGTAATGTTTGCTCTTACATTTTCTCACTCTCGCACACACTGTCGCACTCTCTGGGCCCCGAGCAGAGGAAAATCCTCGGAGATACTTTCACCTCTGACGTGGGGACCACCCTTGAGATGATTCGGGAGCGCGGGAGTGTTCTTGAGTTCGGTTTGTTTACACAACGATAGTTGGTGGCTTTCTAAGCTAAAGTAGAAAGCGTGTAAATTATGTAATTACGAACAATTTGTGGAGATGTCGGCTACACACTCTCGGGTTCTTCTGTACTAAAATTTCCATTCATTTGAGTGTCGCTTTGCCGTTCTCCTTCAGATCACCAACACTCGCCACCACCACACATGTCCCCTAGGATGCTCGTCCATTGATAATGTCAATATGTGAATAGCTGGTGGGCTCACAAATCCACAGAGCGCGAACAATGAGAGTCGAGCCTCATGGCTGGGGCCAGAGGAACGTCATGCGACGTGTTGCACGGGGCCCAGGAAGGAAGGAA